TGGGCCATTCTACATTCTTCAGGAGTCTTTGGCGTTAGCATTCAAAAAGCTCTATTCAGGCGATTGGTTGATGGTATGTCATCCCCTTTGTTGAGTACCTGGTGAATCAGCACTCGCTCGGCTTGTACATTCGATGGAGACATCAACAAGGGCTCGACATGGAAGGTAGTTGCAATTCAGTTTTAGCAGCCCCTCTATGTGCGGCAGCAGATGAGGACAGCTGAAGGTCAGCAAGTGGGCGCTATTGATCACACAGCTGCATTGGCCCCACTGCTGCCCTTCTAACTTCAGTCAGGTCAACACTTTGAAAGCTTCTTGAAACTCAGCTTACAATCACGGCCCACTGAGGGGCTTCTCATTTTGGATGATGATCTTCGTTTTGCTGCTTCACTCTCAAGCCTGCCAGGAGTTGACCTGAGCGAGCCGAGGAAACGTGCGATGGGTCTCTCGGCGGAGATGAAACGACGCTGGGGCACGATGACAGCGCACGTGCGGAGCAACCAAACAGAGGCTATTCGCACAGCAACAGTGCAACGAGATATGGGCTTCACAGCCATCTTTTTTACTGTTGGCCAATTGGGGCGATGTGACACTGCCAGCCGGCCCTTGCATGGGGCTTCCAGTAGTGGGCTATGCACCCCCATATGGTATTTTTCCAGAGCAGGAGGCCACCCGATTGACACGGGGAAACAGAGGGTGATTGATGATGCCTATGTTGGCCTACAATCTGAGCGCTCCAGTGACGCCAACAAGCTTACTCTTTGCTCAGCCCTGCGACCAGCTCAGCATCTGCAGTATGCATATGCCTATGGAGCACTTTCCATCTGGGATACAGAGGAATGGGAGTCAGGTGGCCAAGACTGGCCTGATGCTTACAGACTTTATCTCATGAGTAGAGACGAAGCTCTATGCTGTGTTGCGGCCTTCTTTCATCACGAATGGCAGCGGTCAGCTTTCATAATTTATACAGTTTTTTTTTTTGGGTCTTCTTTGGCAGTCACGTCCTTCAATCGATACAGTCGCTTTGTGGAAGTTTGGTCACGTCGATTTGCATTCGGTTTGACGTGTTTGCATTTTGATGATGCACATCTGACTGACCGGAAATCTTGCAAAGGTTCAGGTCAACGAGCCATGCAAACGCTCAACACCCTTTTGGGAATCTTCTTTTTCAAAGGAGAAATGCCAGAAGATGCAGAGCTCTGGTACATTTTTGGGATTCGACCCCGATTTCATTCAAGTTCCTGCTCAGGGCACCATTCAGTTTTGGGCGCGCGAGCGCATTGAGCGCAAGCTGCTCCACTTTATGAAGAATGCTGAGGATTCCAGCAAACTTCAACCAGGAGCAGCCGCCAAGATCTATGGCATTGCCACCTTCTTTGAGCTTGGTGTATGGGGACGTCTCGGTTGCGGTGGCCTTGCCCCTATCAAGCGCAGACAACAAGAACACACCTCAGAGTTGACTGAGGAGTTGCGTCCCTGCTTCAATCTGTTGCAAATCTTCATCGCTACCAAATTCCTCAGGCAGATCGAGATCTGGCCGCACGTGGGGCTATGTTTTCTAGCAGCCTCAGATGATGCATCGTAAAGCCCAGGTCAGGGTACGGGAGGATTTCTGGTAGTGTGGCATGATGACCACATACAACAGCGTGAAGCTTTTGTCCCGATCATCCCTCCAATGGTGTGCCACCTTTGGGAACCGGGAGACAAGAAGATTGCCCAACTGGCGCTGCTTCAGGTCCTCTATGCATCGTTTTCACGTCCTTCAGCGTTTCGTGGCCGACGAGGACTTTGGTTCATTGACAATACAGCGGCCAGCTTTCATGATTTACACAGGGATTGCTTTTTGGTCTCCCCTTTGGCCGTCACGTCCTTCAATCGATACAGTCGTTTGGTGGAAGCTTTGTCGCGTCGATTTGCATTCTGTTTGACGAGTTTGTATTTGATGATGCGCATGTGACTGACAGGAAGTCTTGCAAAGGATCGGGCCAGCGAGCTATGCAGTTCATGCACAGGGCATCATTCAGTTTTGGGCACGTGAACGCATCGAGCACAAACTGCTCCATCTCATGAAGCATGCGGAGGATTTCAGCAAACTTCAATCAGGAGTAGCTGCCAAGATTTATGGCGTTGTCAATTTCTCTGTGCTTGGTGTATGGGGGCGCATTGGTTGTGGAGGCCTGGTCTCTATCAAGCGCAGACAACAATAACGCATCTTAGAGTTAACTGCGGAGTTGCGTCGATGCTTTGACTTGTTGCGTATCATCATTGCTATCAAATTCTCCAGGCAAATTGAGATCTGGCCACATGCAGGGCCACGTTCTCTGGCAGCCTCAGATGTTGCATTAGAAAGTCCAGGTCAAGGTACAGGAGGATTTTTTTTGGTAGTGTGGCATGATAACCACAGTCAACAGCGTGAAGCCTTTGTTTCAATCATCCCTCCATTGGTGTACCACCTTTGGGAGTCGGGAGACAAGCAGATTGTTCCGCTGGAGCTGCTTCAGGTTCTATATGCATTGTTTTCTCGTCCGTCAACATTTCGTGGTCGAAGAGGACTCTGGTTCATTGACAATACAGCGGCGCTCATGGCTCTGATTAGAGGTCGTTCTGACAACGCAGATTTAGAATACATGTCTCGTCTGATTCATGTCACTCTTTTTGCACTCCAAGCCTGGTTTTTCTGGGAGTGGATCCCTAGTAAGGCCAACTGGTCAGACGAGATCAGCAGGGACGGCCTTCAGGCAACATGGCACAAACGCCATGGGTTCACCACGCATTTTGCATTTTTCCGCTTCGAGATTTGGTCTCTACCACTTCCCGCGTTTCTCCGGGTTGTGGAGTTTCTCTGGGTGCTTTGGGATAGAAGTGCATTGGGAGAGATTCAACCTGTGTAGCCTCCTCAGTTCACAGGAGTGCGGAACAGGGTGTACGGATCCAACCAGTGCTGCTGTGCAGGGGGATACCTGCACAGCGTTCCAAAGCACTATCCTGCGAGGAGCAGGTTGGGACCGCACGAAGAGACTGGAAAGGAAAAAGCTATGCGGATGTGAGCCTGAATAGAGTGAACCGTTTTAGTATCCATGCTTTACATCTCACAACTAATGTATGTATGCATCGTGTTTGGCAGGCACTGGGTGTGCATTATCATTAGGGTGAGTATGTAAGCTGATGAATCCTTTTTGGCTCAAGTCTGAGCCAAACTGGCTTCATCGTTCTTTCTTTTCCCTCCCTTCCCTCCCTATGAGATAGGACTCCGGTGGAGTATCCTCTCTTGTAGGGGATCACATCATTGAGGATGTTGATCTCTACGTGGAGTCCCACGACTGTAGCACCGGGCGGGAGAGATTCAACCTGTGTAGCCTCCTGAGTTCACAGGAGTGCGGAACAGGGTGTACGGATCCAACCAGTGCTGCTGTGCAGGGGGATACCTGCACAGCGTTCCAAAGCACTATCCTGCGAGGAGCAGGTTGAGACCGCACGAAGAGACTGGAAAGGAAAAAGCTATGCGGATGTGAGCCTGAATAGAGTGAACCGTTTTAGTATCCATGCTTTACATCTCACAACTAATGTATATATATATACGTACATGTAATCACATGTGTATGTATGTATATATATATATATAATATACAATATGAATATGATATCATACAATATAGTTATATATATATAGATATGATTTGATATGATATTATATGATATGATATGATTATATGTGATATACATATAATAAAATATGTACATATATACGTATACATTTCTTCAATTCATTTCAAACACCCCAAACCAACGGTTGCAATATGCGGCACTATACAGCAGATTTTACGTCCTTTCTTCAATGGTCGCAGCAGTTTTCTTGCCAATCTGAGGAGCTATGGAGCTGGCTACGGAGGTAGTAAGGCGCAATAGATACAGTATATTTGATATGGACCCCGATGTTTCCCGGTGTTTCAGGTTCAGACTCCACTTTTGCCAGGGATTGACGGAGACCCGGATGTAACTCAGCACAGGGATTCAAAGCCACGTGAAAGTCACAATCCCATTACTGACTGTTTTGGAGAGTTGCAAAATTTGTGCAGCACATCGGCAGGATGGTTGGCAGGATGGTTCCTACAACCAGGGTTGCTTGTCAGCAGGGTCAGGTGCAACTCATTCCATGTTGGGTACAGTCTAATTTGAAATGTGATCGATAGAATTGCCCAAAATCGTTTCCACTGGACTCCTCTTTACAGCTTAGGTGGGGATGGGTACGAAGGAGACGGTGATGGATATGCAGCGGATGGCGATGGATATGCAGCGGGTGGTGACGGCTATGCCGATGGCGACGGCTACGCTGATGGCGACGGCTACGCTGATGGCGATGGCTACGCTGATGGCGATGGCTATGCTGCCGATGGTGGTGGCAGTGAGGGCTATGCCAATGATGGCGATGGGAACGATGGCCATGCAGCAGGCGATAGCTCTGCTGCAGATGATTCTGGAGACGGACAGAAGGCCTGCTCCTTCCCTTGTTTTCGCAAAGATGTGCAAAGGGAATATTGAATATTGCTCACCAAGGGTGCACAGCTTCCTTCTGTGAAGTTTCTCAGTGAAAACCAGGATGCTTTCCTAATGGGAAAAAGATGGAAAAACATATGAAAAAGTCGGACCAAAGTTGTTCTTCTTAGCCGTCTAAGCCTTGCGGGATTCTGTTCTGCTTTGGTGCCGCTTCCAGGAGGGATATGATCCGTTCGGTGGCGGCACAAGTGTGGTTCGGTTTCTCGTCAAAATCTAGTGGCATGACATGACATAAATAAACAAGTGCCGATCATGTCAAAATTATATAATCCAATAAGTATTCAGTATGAATATGTAGTATAACCATAAAAAACATCAATATAATTAATGTACGTATATCTATCTCTATATACATATATGTGCAGCTTGCGATCTTTGCTATCAGAAGTCATTTCAAGGCCCCATGATTGCTTGATCCTCAAGCCCTTTTTTCGTCTCAAGACCATATGCGGGATCTTGCGATTCACGTGTGTTGGATCGGTAGCCATTTGATTAGGACCCTCTTTGATCAGAATCATCATCAGCAATTGTACGATAGCCTGTCCACTGAAGTGAAGGTGTTGCAGGCTGAGCTCCATCGTGCCCATCGGTTGATCGAAGGGTACAATTCATTGCTGGTGCGGGACGAGCCCGGGGCCTTTGGAATTTGGAATACATTTCAATTTATCCTGGCCTTTTTGATTCTTTTGATTGGGATTGGTGTATACTTTTGGGTCCGGAAATCATTGCCTACTCCTCAGCCCCGCGTTACTTTGAGCCTTGGTGACACTGCCGGCTCAAGTTCAGACTCAGACACTCCTGTGGATCCCAAGCCTGTCGAGGTCAGGACAGCCGGTCCAGTCCGGCCATCTTCACTGGGGAAAGGAAAGCGGAAGTAGAGGATGGGTGACTATACTTTAGACGTATCGGATCCCCAAATCCTCCTCCACTTTCCGTTGGACCCCAATGGGTTCACGGAACATCACAGGTTACTGCTGTGTCGTCTGGGGCCCGGCAGGTGGGTTGCTGCAAGTCCTGATTATGAACTTGAAGTTTTAGATTTGAACAATCCTAGGCAGAAGAAGTTTGTTCCCAGCACACTTGGTGGCATCGGTGTATGCCTTTGATCCAATTTCTCGGGCAGACTTGCAGAGGCTGAAGCGTCAAGCCAGTACCATGGCCATAGTGATTGGTGATCGAGACCCCGAAGACATCCAAGCACAGACCTGGGTTTACTCTGACACATCCTCTCCCAGGCTTGGCACCCCTGTTCCTTTGGAGCTTCTGGAGGACGCTGTGACTCTTGGCAGTAAGGGTGTCGTAGAAGTAGATGGTGAGACAGAGTGGATGGAAGAGGTTCCAGACGTGGACTTGAAAGACTACGCTGAAAAGCGCAAGGGATTCCTTGGAGACTCCAGAGTGATTGGCAAGCATGTTGATGCGCAGAACAAACGCTTCATCACTCTAGCTGATGCCATGACTATCATGACGCAGGTGGAGTTGAGTGACTGGGGGTTCAAAGGGCCACGATCTGTTGCCGAATATCTCACATCCATCCGGGAAAGTGGAGTTGATTTGCCATCTTATCATTTGCAATGGGTTAAGACCTCTGGTGTTAATCCAAAGACATCTCTGGTGCATGAACATCGCAACTTGGTGGAGATCCTTCGATTGGCCATTTGCCGTGACCAGTTGAATCCTATGAATTGCATGAGCTTCGAGTTGGTTACAAGACGATTGATTCAGCTCGAGATCGCCGTGAGTCGTTCCCCATCCAATCCGGAGTTTGTGGGACTGGATGTTCTCATGGAGAACCCCATCGAAGAGTCTGGGGCGGCTTCTATGAAGGCTATGGACACCTGGCTCACTGATCAGCTCAAAGCTCGTGCGCAGATTCAGAAACAGTCGAGGCTGTACCGGGAGGAGATGAGCCACCACCAGAAACACAAGGGCTATGGCAATGAAGATGGATCGTCGTGGAAGAAGAAGGGCAAGGGCAAAGCAAAGGCCAAAAGTGGCGCTAGCTCAAGTGGAGCCGGCGCCGGGGACAGTTAGGCCATTTTTGAGTTCCTCTCACACAAGCCTGCGGTGACATGAGAGGACCTTTGACAAGCAGGCAGCCGTGGGCACAATATCGTGCGCATGGTGACCCACTACCACTTGGGCCGGATTGGATTGCCTCTGGTGCGGAACAACTGGAAGTGCCTTTTCCACAGCGAGGTGCATGGACAGCTCAAGCTTTGAACACCCTCGCTTTGCATGATTCAAATTCAAATTTTGATACCATTCTCCGTGATATACCTCCGACTGAAACTCAGAAGCAAGTGGCTGACCGCATCTGGAAATGTCTAGAGGAAGCGGAAGAGCCACCGGCAGGCCTTGATGGGCCGGCTGCTCTTGCTAGTTTGTCGGATGGGAAGTGCCTCTACAATGAGGAGCCGAGCAACTTAGCAAACTATGACTATGACAAGCTGAAAGTGCTCCACACCACCTTGAAGCCGCGTCGGCTTGCAGAGGTGTTGCCACAACATGCCAGAAGTGCCTTGCAGAGGTACCAGACCCTCATTGAGAAAAGTGCTAGTGAACTCAGTGCTGAGGAACCTTGCTCGATCAAACCGTACTGGGATCCAAAGCTTAGAAGCTCTGACTCAGCCTTGACTCGATTGATTGTTGGTCTAGCAAATCAAGGGTTGGTGACTTTTCGCACAGCTATCAAGGAACGGATTGGCATCTTTTCCGTGAAGAAAAAGACACCAGATTGGATCAGGCTGATTATCGACAATCGGAGGGTTAATGCAAGACACCATGCACCACCTACCGCACGCTTGTCCACACCTCGCAGTTATTTAGACATTCACTTTCCCAAAACCCCGACAGATGTTCCTATTGGTTATGGTATTGAGGCTGACGTGAATGATTGTTTCTACAACTATTACATGGAAGAGTTAGCATCATGGTTTGGGATCGATAGACCTGGTACAATTGAATTTTGGCGTTCACAGGGTTGGCAGCATACAGATATTTTTGATGATGCGAGTCAACAGTTCTTCAACCCCAAGGATGATTTGGTGGTATATCCTGTTTTTAGAGGGCTTTGCATGGGCTGGAGTTGGTCTTTGTATTTTGCCAATGAGAGTGTCAAATTATATTGCCAATGGTATGGTGGACCGTCCTCTTCGCGAGATTCGAGATAAGACCCCACTGCCTGACATTTCATTGGGCCCTGTGACAGGAGTCTATGTGGACAATATCAGCATCATTGGGTGCGACGCAGAACAAGTTCAAGAAGTGGCAGACCGAGTCGCAGCGCACTTTGCGGCAGCGGACATCCCCCTGACTTGGACGACTGAGAAACCCCAAAGTGTTTTTGAAACTGTTGGTCTTATTTTGGATTTCAAACAGCGAACCATTAGGAACAAACCAAAAAGACTATGGAAGGCTTTTCTTGCGGGGCGGGAGTTGTTGAAGAGACGGCGAGTTTCGGGCAAGTTGGTGGAGATCTGGCTGGGGCATATGACATCTTTGTTCATGATCACTCCGTGCGCTTTATCTTGCTTCTTTCATATTTACAGATTTGTCCAACAACATCGACACCATCGAACTATTCTATGGGCGGCTGTTCGGGAGGAGATGAAGCTAGCTATGGGATTGATGTGGCTGACTAGTTCGACCTTACAATTTGATCCGGTTTTACAAGTTGATGCGGGCGATTCATCTTCAGGGGCATATGCATTATTAACTACATGGTCCACTCCATATGAGGTTTCTGAACTTTGCAAATTTCGCGAAGTCTGGCGATTCCAACCCCTTCCCCAACGTCTCAAGCGTGCGGCACTGTCAGGTAGTCGAGCAGAAGTCATCCGAGCTTTGGACGAGCTGGAGAGCGACTGGTCTGAGATTCATCAGAGGCCACAGGAGGTCCGGGCGGTGGTGCCGTTTGGCGCGGGTTTGAAGACCCGTTATGCGGATTGGTTGATTGAAGCTGCTAGTGATGAGAGCTCATGGTTGCGGACTAGTTCAATCCGAACACAACTGAAAGCGAAACCTAGAAAGAAACTGGAGATGGAGACACCAACCATGGTCATGCCTATACCTGATACTTTATGTCGTAGGGAGCGATATAGCTTGTTGTGGCGAAAGAGATGGAACAATTCACACAGACATATCAATGAGAAAGAAGCACAGGTGTGTCTCTCTTCCTTGCGACGCACAGCTCGCGTGAAGAAACTACATGGCAAAGTCAAGGTGACTCTGACAGATAACTTGTCATGTTTGTGCGCTTTGGAGAGGGGCAGAGCGAGTTCCTATGGACTGAACAAGATTTGTAGGACAGCCTGTGCTTACCAGTTGAGTTGTGGCATTAGATGGCGGTTGCGTCATGTGGAGACAATGCGGAATCCAGCAGATGAGGATTCACGTTTTCATGAAAACAAACAGAAGCCTAGCAAACTTATTTTGAACAACAAAACTCAGCATGTGAATACAGTTGGGGGCAGTGTTGAAGTGCCGGGAGGTGAACATGGTGAGGAGGCTTTGAGGGTCTCCGCGCATGATAGCGAATGTACTCCATCCCGACCTTCCAAACCCCCTGTCAGGCAGAGCAAGATCCGCGGTGGTGCCTTCCTGGAGATTTTTGCTGGAACTGCCCGGCTAAGCGACGAGATGCGGCGACAACGGCGGGCTACACTGCAACCAATAGATTGCCGTTTTGGGCAACACCACGATCTCAGGAGACGAGGGACACAACTAGTGATTTTGGGCATGATAAGGTCTGGGAGGATTCGGTATGTACATTTGGGCACACCATGCACAGTTTTTAGTAGAGCTAGACACTTTATTAAAAATCACCGTCGAGCACGAGACCGTGAACGGGATGGTGTTGAGCTAGGGTTATTTACAGCAGAAATCATTGAGACGTGCAATAGGTACAATGTCTTTTGGAGTTTGGAGAACCCAAGGAATTCACGACTTTTTGATTTGCCTTTTTTGCACCGGCTTCTACATCAAGAGGACGTTTTTCGTGTCAATATGGATTTCTGTATGTATGGCGAAGCCTATAGAAAACCTACATCTATCTTCACAAATATCCCAACTATGAGTCAACTTGCCGTTGGCTGTATTCATCAAAAACACTCGGTTGTTCTCCGTGGATCAGAATCGGTCCGGTGCAATGGTCAGAAGAAATCACAACCAAAAACCCAGCGAGCTGGGGCATACCCTTTGAAGCTGGTGGAGAAGTGGACTGAAGTTGTGGGGGAGTTTTTGGACCCCCACACACGGGACGCTGACATTTTAGGAGCACAGCTGGAACATGAACTCCGGGTTGTCTGCCAAACGGCAACGACTCGAAGCGGGTCGATTTCTCCCAGTTCTAGCCTCAGGTCCCTCTTCCAGCAGTTCTCCAAAGTCCAACCGGAGGGGTTGGAAGCCATCATCTTTGGCCAGCACACCAATGAAGAAGCAGTCCGGCGGAAAAGACGGCAATCGAGAAAAGTCAAGGAGCAACCCATCCAAAGCGTCCTTGGCGGCCAGCATTCGACAGAAACTGCCTAGACACACTGTGCTGAAGGCCCTCAAGGTCCAAGATGTGACTTTGATTCGGTATCACAATGGGGTGCAGGAATTTGAGCAGTATCTGAAGCGGAGAAGGCTGAAACCCAAAGATGTTCATTCAGTAGATATACACATGGCTACTTATTTTGCAGACTTGTGCGATGCGGGGTCGTCTTACAATAATGCTACATATGTTTTATTTGGGTGGTTGATGCTTCGATGTTCAGAGAATCTACCAGATAAGATGTTGCTCCCCCAGAGTCGAGCAGCGTTGAAGGGATGGTGCACACGATATCCACAATCATCTCGCACAGGCGCGGATCCACTTATTTGGCATCTTGTTGCATTGCATATGTGTGAATTTTCACCCTTGTTAGCAGCGGCTGCCATTGTTCAGTTGGATACATATGCACGACCATCCGAGCTTTTGCGAGTCAAAAAGCAGGATGTGATTCGACCATCCACCAAACACTGCAAATACTGGGGCATCATTTTTGGAAACTCTGCAAGACAAGAAAAGACAAAGACTGGTACTCAAGATGACACAGTCCTCTTTGATTCTACTGATCGACCATATGCCAAGCAAGTTTTACAGATGGTGTATAACCGTACACGTCCGTCTACTGATTCTCTTTTTGGCCAAACAACGCTCAGTGAATATGAGGATGTCATGAAACGAGCACGGTCAAAAGCAAAGTTAGGGCAGTTTAGTTTGACACCTCACACGGTCAGACATTCAGGTCCTTCCATTGACAGTCTACAAAAGACCCGTCATCCGGAAGAAATTTTAGCACGTGGGAGATGGCGCTCTATGAAGTCCATTCAGAGGTATCAAAAGCCTGGGCAAATGCTTGCTAGCATGAACCGAATTGGTGATGAAATTTGGCTCCAAGCAAAAGCAGCACTACCCAAGCTCATGCGGAAGCTCCGCTCTGCTCTATAATGAGGGCTTCGCCCCATAACAATTCTTTGTTTTCTTTGGGCACGGGATGTTTCAATTTGACTGGTGACAACTGCTGAAATCCATATCCTGACAGTTGAACGACTGCAGCACATGGTACGGCAGTCATCATTTCATTGAGGAGATTTACAGTTTCATCCAAGCAATGCACCTGTTCGGAACACAAACACCTTTTTGGAGAAAAAGAGTCCGAGTGGGTGGGCCGTGAGAATCCAACTTTGATTGACAATGTGCAGCTTGCGATCTTTGCTATCAGAAGTCATTTCAAGACCCCATGATTGCTTGATCCTCAAGCCCTTTTTTCGTCTCCCAAACCCACAAACCGCCCGACAAGGGATGTTTCAATTTGACTGGTGACAACTGCTGAAATCCATATCCTGACAGTTGAACGATTGCAGCACATGGTACGGCAGTCATCATTTCATTGAGGAGATTTACAGTTTCATCCAAGCAATGCACCTGTTCGGAACACAAACACCTTTTTGGAGAAAAAGAGTCCGAGTGGGTGGGCCGTGAGAATCCAACTTTGATTGACAATATATATATATATACATATATCATGATATTTCTATATATTTATTTTACAGTATCTCAAGTGATCTCAAGAACACATTCGATATTTGTCCGAGCCGATGGTTCTCTGGTTCCACCGAGCCGTGCGCCAAGGGCACCGGCTCCACCTCCACCAGCAAAACAGGCGGGTCCCGACTCTGAAGAAACAGGTAGACACGTCGTGGTCGTTTTACATCGTTTTACATGTTCAGGTAAAAAACAAAAAAACAACAAGCATAGAGGATATTAATATAGTTATTTTTTATAACTTATATAATTTAGATATTAATATGAACTATCTTTTATAGCTATATTACATATACAACTATGTATAATTAACTATTATTTATTTTGTGTGGTTTAGCTGTGGATATTTAGTCGACTAGATCGAACTATTATTAATTGGTTTATTAAGGTCAACGGATATTAACAGTTGGATAACACGTATATCATATTAACACTATATTCACTGTTTGAATATACCACAGTTGATATTAACACAATTGGTATTGACTGGCTATCAACACAACTGATATCTATATAATGGGTGTTTGAATATCTTCATCCTCAGCTTTGCTCCAGTTCATATCAGTTGATGATGTTGATATTGCTTGATGCATCAGTGATTATCGCCATCCAAAATTTGGTATGCAGATTGGTCAGTTGCACCAAGCAAAGCGTGGTCACTGTGTAAAATGGCGACCCAGCACTCCTCAGGTTTATTGGCATATAGACATAGACATTACATTTGCAAACATTGTAACATGTGCTTGTGTCCATCATGTCATGATGTCATGTCATGCCATGATGGTCTCGCTGTGTGTGCAGGTCTTTGGAAAAATGCCGGGTGCTCCACGAACTTCCACGCAATCGCCAGAGAAGAGCTTGCACATGCACGGTGAGACGACGTTACTTGGCACAGGCACAGTGCACTGTGGCCATGAGGCGCCGTCAGGCCGGAACCTGAAAGGTATCACCGTCGGGACACTTTTAAAGAGACGGCCAAGCCAGCGCAACAGATAGTGGAAATGCCGAACAACATGTGATTGAGAAAGAACCTGCTGCCATGTCAGTCTGGTTATCATGGGACGGAGTCGTTTTGATCCTCGTAGCACAGCTTGCATGGACCATGCTCTCTTCGACTACATATACATATACGCTTACGTATCAAAAGCTGATCTTGAAACCACTTGTCACGGCAAGCTAAGTCGTAGATGATCTAAGTTTTGTAGTGAGGTCGTACCGAGAGCCACCAAGTCGTAGTGAGGTTTGTTCCAAAAGGAGCTCGGACGATGTATCAAGCCTTCGTTGAGCTCGAAGGCCCAACTTGGTGGATTAACATGACGGGATCACAGCCATTTCTTTCGGACCAGGGAGTACTTTTTTTGTACTTGTTGATATTTGTTGATTTTGTTGCATATTCTTATGAACGTGGTCTGGAAATCGCTTTCTCTGTTTCTAGTTTTCCGCCTTCTGATAACTTTAACTCTGGCACCACATGTAAAGAATCCAGAAATCTCGTTTTCCAGTTTCCCTTTACAACTTTACGTTATGCTATATTGCTACGGTCCAACGACATGCCAACTGAGTGCCTCCATCAAGCGTAAAGCATTACATACGGGATCATACTGGTAAACACCTGAATGAAGTTCATGAAGCTACCATAAGCTACCCAAAGCTACGTTTTTGGTGGAATGGAGTACGCTGGTCTTGATGCTACACTACAACTCGATTGTCGAAGATGGACTTCATACAGTATGACTTCATTATGTAATTATGTAAGAAATCAGACAAGATGTTGGAGCTATATATTCAAAGTGCAAACTGTGCTATGTCACAGTGGGCTGCGAGCAGAATAACTCCAATAATTGGATGTTCCTAATTTCATTCAAGGTTGAATGCCTAGATCATGATGCATCCGACACTCTGAATGCCTAGATCTAGCTGACGCGAGACATTGGTTTCCAATTTTGACCTGTTTCGGCCGCTAATCTGTGCAGGTTCTGCCATGAAGCAGAATCTACGAACTTCTTTGTGGAAGGATCCGCGATCCGCACCACTCAAAGTTGTGCTGATGTTTCACATGCTTTTGATCGGCCTTAATCTGGTGGAAGCAACAAGTTGGAACACAAACGAACTTCACTTTTTAGTTGCCATCGTGGCTTGATGTTGATGGCCCTGAAGTCTTTTGACATAAAACAGAAATGTGCTCCTTCCCACCCAACGTTAGCAGTTTCAGGGTAATGTAAAGGTATATAAAGCAGATACCTCTGGCATTTTTTTCCCCTTTGTTTATCTTTGTTTGAGTGTTTAGGATTTCAATTTGTCTTCAAACACATGTGTGAAACATCATCCTATCCGACCTATCCCTGAACTGTCAGCGCTCCGGTTTGGTCATGATTAAGACAGACGACTTTTCCATCAGGACGGCGAGGCAGATGAGAAGTGCGGGCCCCGCTTCAAGGTCCGCGAGGCCCGATGGTGGCAGCAGCCTCTGTGATTTTAGGGACTCGTCAAGAGATGTTCAGCAGAAACCGGATGCTCCTATTTTCAGCAATGTTCAGATCACACTGCACGTATTACACAAACATATGCACACACATGACATGACATGACATTACATTACATTACAATGCATTACAATGCAATGCATTACAAAGCATTACAGTACATGACATTACATGACATTGCATTACATGACATTGCATTACATGACAGTGCATTCCATTACATTACAGTACAATACACTACAACACACTACAACGCATACATATTCCGATGTTTGTAGCACATGATACGTTTATACAGATACACTAGATACACCTACACATTGTCTAGTGCATGTTTTGAGCATCTGATAGATTTGGGATGAAACACTGCAAGTTTCGGCGCAGAAACCCCCAGACTTGGCGACGGACTTGAATGGTGTCCAACTGCCGTCCCTGGGACATGAGACCGGCAAGGCATCTCTGGTTCTCCAGAGAAGTGGTGCATAATATATATATATAATTATAAATATATATATATAAATACATATGTACATGACATAATATATTTTATATATCTACATCACACACACACATATATATATATATAAAATATAATAGTATATGATATGTATAGTACATATACACACAACTACAGTATACTTACAGACACACACACAGAAAAAAACACATCCATTGAAACATATGTCCATTTGTCAAATATTTTTTAAAGAAGTTTTACGTATGTAATTTATGGATAATCAATGTGGACCTGCGCAAGTTTTGTTTGCGTCTCCAGGTTCAAATTTCTGTCCCAAGTTTCCCGATGAAATTCCCGGCTAGCTTTGTGCTAACAAAAGTTTTTGATGTTTATTTTGATGTCTATAAACTTCTCTTATCTTCGCGACATTTGTTGTGAACAATTTGATGTTTCACAGCTTGAACTGAGCGGGAACCAAGGACGACCTGCTTCGAGGATGACAGCAAAGGTCTGCATCACGTCTTTGTCATCGGCGATTGGGGTGGAGTTCCTTGGCTGAAAACTAGGGATCCGTTTAATTCATTGCAATCGGAAACCCACAAAACCATCCTCTTTTATGCACAGTAAAATACCATCAAGTGATGCCGAACAGCCACATCGCTCTCGTTGGGAACAAGACCTGCAGAGAGATCAGAGTGAGATGTTACATCCGAAAAAAGTGCAAGGAACGGTTGAAATCTCTTGAAACATGTTGAAATCTCTGCAAAATTGTAGCTGGATGATCACCTTGGATTCCAGTCTCCCAAGGTCATTGATTGGTACGACAAAAGCAAAGGCTTCGTCCATCCACCCAAAACTGCTGACCACACAACGCTTCTCGGATCGTTCACAGATGTTCACAGCAAAGCGGAACACACACACACACATACTAGAAGATCTAGAAGCACAAGCGAAATTGCCAATAATATTCATATAATCAATTCCCTCAATAGTTCGGAAGAACAAGAGTGACCAACAGAGCCAATTTTGTAGCGCAATTTTGGTCATGTTATGCCCTATGAGCGCGGTGCCCAGGAAGGCTTTTTCTTCGCACGCACGCAAGAAGGTGCGATGCAAAGTGAAACTTTTGCAGCGAAGTGTGTCCCGTAAGTCAGAAGTCAGAAAATGCTGAACTGCAATCTGTCAATCTGAACATTTTGACTCACAGATTGAACAGAAATTGCTGCTGAGCAGCTTGTTCAAGAAACAGTGGCACGTCGCTTCATGAACTTCCAAGAACTCCGCTTCTACAATTTTGAACAGGCAATGCCGGGTAATGCGTATGTATGACCGTATGAGGTTTGAACCATTGCTTTGTCATTATATAATGAATGATTATGTATATATTTCATTGCATACCTATATATATATATATACACGTATATAAACATACATATTTCATGTATATATATATATATATAGCATGTATATATATATAGCATGTATATATATATAGCATGTATATATATATATATAGCATGTATATATATATATACATACATAACTAATCATTTTCTGTCCCAATGCCCTAGGTGAAGAGCTCAGATGATTGGGCACAGTACAATGTCAGCAAATGGTTCTGCAACAGGGCCGAGGCCCGATGTGTTTTGTTTGAGGTTGTGAGATTAGAAAAACACATCCAGTGACAACATCCAGTTTTGGTTGGCCCTCTCTCTGTATCAAAGTTGGCAAAACAAAGGCAGGAACCCCCGTATACCACTATTCAAGGCCCAAGGATGTCGCAAAATCTGAGAGCAGTGATGAGCAGTGTCCTAAGTGGTTCAGATTGGTTCAGGATGTAGACATTTTGGGGACGGAGCTTGGTTCTCTACAGGAGTCAGACCCGGACTTCGTCATCAACTTAGGCGTGCTTTGGTCCAGATTCATTGATTCATAATGCACTCGTGAGATCAAACATGAAGATAACATGATGCAATGTTCACATCGCAGTTGCAGCCAAACTGGGCCAGGATTTAAACACTGTGGATCTGTAGCCGGCAGGTGACAACTTCTACTGGGGCGGCTTGAATGTTCAATGCGGCGGACCAATGCATCAGCCACAAGATCCTGCTTTTCAGTGCCATGGCAAGCGAAGTGGATTCACAGAGCTGTCAGACCTCTGTGATTTTGGCTACGGCACGCGTGCAAAACAGGTTCGTTAATTCAGACCCCTTAGGTACACTGTGGCGCCTCTCTGAGACAAAACACATTTCAATGCCTTCGTCAGTCCATTTTTAGTGTTGTTTGGAGCATTGCTCCAAGGGCACACAGTGCAGCAAAATCTGGTCCAATCAAGAATATAAAGATCAATTTACTGTAGTCTTGCCAGGAAATTCAAGCGAATGTGTTCTTCTTGCCAGGTGGAGCAACGTGTATGAGAAGATGTACCATGGAACTAAGGCTGGACGGATTCCCTCTCTTCAACACGTGATTCCAGGGTAGAGGGTCCTGAGTGAGAAAGAACCAGAAATCCTGACCGTGCGAGGGCTGAACATGCCAAAGGAACAAACACTTCCAATGTTGTGGGCTTCGGCATGCTGCTGCTGCTGCTGCTGCTGCAGCTGCATACGCTGACATGCCTTCAAAGTTTGCCATGCCAGGTGGATGGAAAGCAATGGTTGAGCATCTTGGGAGACTTGCATGAAACGGTTTCTGATTGTTTACAATTAGGTCCATTATTAATCATTATTAATGTTATGGTTCACTAAATGCTTTGCAGAAATCTCACATTTGATCATTCTCGCAGATGCCACCAAGGAAACCACGACTATGGCGGCTTTCTCTTTACCAATGGCTGGGATCAAGTGATTGCCTACACCTGGCAACTTGGATCTACAGAAGTCGCTCGAATAGTTTTCAGTTCCTGCAGGATCTTAAGTTGATCATAAGTTGATCTTTCTTGTTTCAGTAGGATGTAGTTGTTTGATGTTGTTTGTGTTGTTTGCCCTTTGTTTCCTTGTGCCCTCTCGCCTCTCAGCATGCTGAGGTCCAAAATGGAATTTAGCACTGGACGATGGATGCAACCTGCATTGTACTACGCTACCCCTATCAAGTACAACGAATCCAAGCTGCAATTTTCATTGCTGTAGTAAACATGAGGTGCGTGAAATGTTAGCGTGGTTTTCATATGTTTTCATGTCATCTCTGTGTTTCCTTGATGTTTTTGCAGGATTTCTCCGTGGACATTTTCTTTGTTGATAGCAACTCGGCAATGACCCTGTGAAACTTGGCGTTTGGTTTTGTTTGTGCGTCCCAAGTTCAGCTACTCCGGTAGAGCCGAGGCAACGTTTGGGATGCCTTCGACTATCACGCCACCAGCGGCCACAACATTTGCGGAATGTCGCACAACTACCAGGAAAGGTTCAGTCTTTGGATTCAAAATTGCTTTTCTGCCTTGTATCTTGAGCTATCTTGTGCTATCTTGTGCTATCTTGTGCTATTCCATCTTTTCTCAAGTTAATCTCCTGCATCTGCCAATTCCAATTAGCGTGGTGCCTGGTGTTCCTTATTGCAATTCTGGGCCACAGATTTCGGCAGTGTGTCCAGGATGCAACCTGCGGCATTACAGGGCCAATGTCTGTGGAACAGTGCTGCGGCTCCAAGGGCTGTATGAGATAGACGCAGTGGACTGTCCACTGGACCGTCCACTGGACAAGACCGCCGTAGATGAACAATGATGGACATACATGCCAAATTATATTGCAAGCAGCGCCATGAATCACATAGGACCTAGGAGTTTTGTCACTTTGAGAGGTTCTTAAAGCCAGTTCAGACAATTTCAATACTGCTCTCCCAGACTAGATTCCGACATTGCAAGAAACATTGCAAGAAATGGCGGAACTTGCATGAAATTGGCATCCATTTCAGCAGAGCTTGGCGCCAAGGTGTGCACAATGGTTTAAAGACCTTTGGGATGCCGAAGTGAAGTGGATGAAGGAATCGTCTGGGATCATGGGATTTGTGCCACTTCTGCGATGTTTGGAATTGCGGCATGAGTCATTTCCCAACAAATCGAGGGTGGAGAACTTGGTCGACTTCACTGTGAATCCCTGCTGAGGATGGCTTGGGCAAGTCCAGCGCAGATTGGCAGTTCATCGCGACCCACTTCCCTGTGGCCCAGCAAGGGACAAACAATTGGACAAATTGACTCCAAAAGACTGGAGAGACGACTCTGATTTCCCTCAGGTTAAAGAGAGTGACCTTGACCCACGTCAAGACTTGTACTTTTACCAATTTTTACATATCTTTACCATCTTTTACGTTTCAAGTCGCCACGTCCCGGGCAGTGCTTCCAGTGGTTCCGGTGGTTCCGTCAGGTGGAGCATGGCCTGGATCAGTGGAAAGATCTTGCCACGACCTTCGGAGTGGACCTGATCCTCAGGGCACATCGGCATATCCAAGAGGCGGCTCGGCTCCCATCGGCTCCCTGGGTTGAAGTTGCTACCTCTTTTGCTATCCCTTACCTCTTTACAATATTTTTCAATGTTCATTCTCTTTGCACTGTGGCTTCAAGAAAGTCACTTTGGATCTGTTGCCAATGTGCTGCCAATGCATTGCCAATGCGTGGCCAATGCGTGGCCAATGCGTGGCCAATGCGTGGCCAATGCGTGGCCAATGTCGGCCAGTGTCGTAGGTGCACGGACCGGATGACGAATCCAACTTGGTGGCGCCCACTGCGTGGATCGTCAGCGGTGGCGGTGGCGGCATCACCTCCGAAGCGGAGCCCACGGAGAACGGTGAAGACGATCAGTCGCCCGGTGCAGAGACAACTAGAGACATGTCGTAAATGTAAAGGTGTGGCCAGGCCGCCATGACTCCACGACTTGTCATCTTAATTTGAAGGTCATGGCTTGTCATGGCTTGTCATGAAGGAATCTGTGTCCAACTGGTGCATCGTGCTTCTCTAGGTATGGCTTTATGGACCTGACCTTGTCAAAGCACGAGATCAAAATCACGGCCGTTAGAGCTTCGACTGGATGGGGATGGGGATAGGCAAGATGAAAGGGGTCTGGCGCCAGATCTTTCCGTGTGCACCAGGATCAAATCGGAATCTGCGATCCTGTGCCAAATGCCATTGTTTGGCATCGTTTGGCATTATTTAGCATTGTTTGGCATTGTTTAGCACTGTTCAGCATTGAACCGCTTTATTCCGGGCAAGAAGTACAGTAGGCCCCAAGTGCTTTTTTTGCTGAATGAAGGGAACGCTATATTGCCTTCGTACTGTCAAGCCTGTAGAGAAAACTTACGAGATTTTTGAAGAACTGGAGACTGGTTTGATCCAGTGCATTGGAGTGGTCCAAACCAGATTAACGAAATGTTACTATCTATTTAACAAATTTTAACACTTATCATCACTTATCCATATTTTTGTTGTATTCTTGGTTGACACACCCAGTATCTAGACGTAGTATTCCATCATATTCCTAATAGGTCCTAATGTCATTTCTGTAGTCATATAAGTCATATGATAGTCATATATGATTTCCCATGATTTCCCATGATTTCCCTGGTTGCTATGGTGCCACGGCTTGGGACGATCCAGCGAGGTCATGGAGGTCAGATCCGACAAACGCGGTGCATTACGCAGCGAATGCCCGGAGATAAGCGGACACAGAGAATTTCAGGACGATGGCCTCTGGCATCTAATGGAGATATATTACATATTACATATTATATATATATATTATATTGCATTGTATTGTATTGTATTATATTACATTACATTATATTATATTATATTATTATATTATTATATTATTATATTATAAATAGACATATGGTCAGATAACTGTACCTGTGCAGAAGATATCTGAGGTTTATGTTTAGAGTATTTCAACATATTTTAAATAGGCTGTTCAATGGTGTTTAAGTGTTGGGTGTTCCATCTGCAGACACTTGATAAGAGTCTGAGATGTAGAAAACGACAGGGAAAGCTGGAGCCTCAGCTGGGCCAGGAAGTTCATTATGTGACGGAGAGCCATCTGGTGTTCAACCTCTTCCGACAAAGATGGCACCAACGGTGTTTCCGATTCACTACTGACAATGGAACACTAGATTTTATTGTTTTCACTGGCGTCCAACGAAGATGCATGTTGGAAAACTGAACACTGTGTCCAAACAGTTCCCCATGTTACTCTATTTCTTTCAAGAACATTTCATGTATCCGCAGTCTGGGCTATGCCAGTGTTAGAGTCTTGCGCTTGCGTTGAGCGCTGGTTTTTTCTGCCTTTTGGGTCTTGCTAGTTCCAAAGAGAGCTGAGTCGAAATCGGAAGGCAGAAATCCAATGTACCCGAGCTGAAGTATTGAGGTGTGCAGAAGTTGTCTTGCACGGAAGTCCTAGGACGTTCTTAACCATGCTCAAACCCACTGTTTTAAACCATGATGTTTGAATCTTTGCCTTTGAGGGAAGCATAGGAAACGCGCTTCAGATGGGATCGACAATACATAGACTGTTTCACCTCAGAAATCTCAGCATCGCCCGGCTGAAAAAAGATGGCGCTTGCTTCAGCAGAACTCACAGGATTCAGCTGATAGATTAGGGATTTTGCTGCGAGTCTACGCTGGCGTACACAGCAGTTGTAAGTTTGAGTTGCGGGTATGTCACACTTGACATTATTACTCGGAGAGACTCACAGGGTTTGTCTGCATGACCCGCCAGCATCGGAGTGATATTCACCTCCCTTCGTCTCCAAATTGTGGAGTTGCGACTTTTTGCATCGTGACTTCAGAATCTTCACATTTGGGTCTTTCAACGATTGCCATTTGCGAAGTGTGGTGGAGCCCTTGAAGTCGTCTGGACAACATTCCGTAGGCTCACTTGACGGTATCTGGCTGTATCCGACTGTACCCCTTCCGAGCCGCTCTTGCCCAAAGGGAAAACAGTTGAGGCAGGAACTTGGAAGCGTGCATACTCGCAAGATTCGCAAGCAAGTTTGACAGGGTCGTTCCAAGACTATCGGAACACAAAAACCCGTTTGTTTTGAACATCACATTCCTTTCAGCACCATCCCATTGAACATTTGGTGTTCTATGGCGACGACACCGCTCAAATTTAAGATAGTTCCCATCTTTTTGACCCACACTTTCAGCCAATCTAAACAACCTTCGCATTTTTCAGCATTTTTCAGCTGCGTCTTTGGCCATGCCTTGACGCTCATGGATCCTGATAATCCGCAGCCTGGACAAGACGCGCACCGCTCTCGCCGGACGAGTGACGTGTTGCCATCACTGGCATGGCGATTGGTCTTCGTCGCCGTATCCCTGGGATGGCTAGATCCACCGTCCCATGTCTTTACAGAGTTGACTTCATCAAAATTTTAAAATATACTAAAATACTATATACTGTAGATCTCAGCTCCATGTCATGTCACTTCCAGTCTTCACAGTCTTCACTATTTGTAGGATCAGGAAGTGATCAGGTTTCAGATCTAAGTTTTTCCAATGCGATGCCAAGATGATCCAAGATGTTGCATTCCGCTGCTGTCAGGTCACTAGGGCCTACCTTCACTGGATCCAGTGGTCGAATGGTTTCACAGAGGCAGCTTGGAACCAATGGGCCGAGGCCTGAAATATCCAGCAATATCCAGAAATCATCGGATCTGTTGTGAGTCACGTGAGTCACGTGTCAATGAGAAACCCAAATTACCAGAACTGAACATATCAAAAAGGATAAAAAAGTAAATACAATCCATTGCAATCCTTTAATGAAGGTGTCTTCATGAATGATGGAAGTCCTCAACATCTTTCAGACCCAAAATAGTCCTGGTAAAAAAGGGATGTCTATGGATGTGTCATTTTGCACTTTGACACTGTAATCCTGACCCCCCAATTAGGTATCTAAAATGACAGGTTTGCATACAGATCATACAGGCAATCAGAAGATGACAGGTTTTTGGTTTGTTAGGAAATATACATAGCAGCGGATCTTGAGGCTTGATGTGTTTGCAAGCGGCGCGGGGTCAAGATAGGGATAACTTTGGCCGGGGTGGTAGGAGACAGGATTAGAAAATGAAATGTTGGATAGACATGATTGAAGTTCAGATGCTGACAGATTTTTTTTTGTTTTTTTGATGTAGCATGGATGTTATAGCTAACATTTCCAAGATTTAACATGATAGAGTTTTCTTATGTTGATAGGCTGCAGCCTTTGGATTTGATTTTGATTCATTTTGTGAACCTTCCTGGGTGGTCCAGCTGCAAAGGCAACGGCTCCGGTCACGTTCCGTTCTGTGGACCGCTGGCTCTGGTTGGCAGCGGCTGAACAAACGCGCATCATGGGAATCTTGATGCATTTCAGGGAGAACATAAATCAACATTATTTGCAACGAGAAATCGCAGGGATGAAATTGTCAAGAGATACCAGGGTGCAACAGACACCAGAAGACTTGTTAAGACACCTTCTTCAGAACCTGGATCGAAAATGAGAAGGACAAAAGCTCCAAGGAAAGCCAAGAGCAAGAGTGAATAAGAGTGCATTCGAGTTTAGGGAACGAGAGCACATGCGAACGCCAAACCCATATAAACCCATGACATCCGGGCTAGACAGCCTATGCAGCCAACAAATTGAAGTGCCTTTTGTCGGAGAATTGTAGCTCTCGGTCGTTACTGTATACTGTACGTAGCTGGTCCACGGACGGCCTGTTTGCTTGTCGATTTGGCTACGGCTAAAGTGCTGGAGATCAGTCGAGCTATGAGCTTTGAGCTTGTGTACTAAGGATTTCTTACTTGGTGCGTCTCCGTTCAGCTATGAGGAGTCCATGGGTCATCAGTCTGTTGCAATGTTTCACGGATTTTCACGGTCTTCCACCAAAGTGCAGGTGCTAATGTTTGTATTCCAGTCATGTCCAGTCAGATCCCCAAGAGGAACCATTTCACGAGAGTCAAACATTCATGAAACGGCTGCAGGAAGTGGTGGACAACGTGCGCCAGGAGGAATATATGAAAAATCTCCTTTGGGTGGACGACTTTCCCACAGACAACGAGATAGACAACGACAACGGTGTTCTTTCTGCAGGAGCGGGGTATCGAAAGTTGCTATAACTAATACATAGACTATGGTCATCTATGGTCCCAATGCCATAGACTGACAGGGTTCAGAAACGATATTTCTATATTTCCTACGAAATTCCTACGATGTTGTACACGTCTATGTAGTTGATCCATGTGTTGGATCCTAGGTACTTTGTACCACAGATGTGTATGTTTGTAACTTGGTTGTCATATGTTGCCATAGCAGTGCCATATTACATTGCATACTAACCAGTGGCAGCCAACAATTCCAACAATTCCAACGGTTCCGGCAACTGTTGAGCTGCGGTTGGGAAGGTCCAGATCCAGATGCTGAAGGCTACCCTGCACCCTTCGTGTCATACCTGGCTCGACTGCTGCTGGCACGTGATGAGCGGTGCGCCAAATGGTGGCAAAGCGCCCTTTCAGCCCCTTGACAAACAGATACATGAAGAATCATGAAGATACAAAAGACCACGGCCGTCCAAATCCTACAGATGGAGATAGATACACTAAGGATATATATATATAATTAAATACAAGTGTTTGGATGCATTGTAGCTAGTGGAAAAGAGGATAATTTCATTTTTGAGCAAGGCCATCGGTACTCGGGATCTTGTCCCTGCCATACTCTTTCCAAACTTTCTCAAATACAATGAGCACAGACTGGTTTCAGAGTTGCTCCTTTTGTTGGGGGTCACTAAAAAGTCAGATGCCCGGGGATTCGACACTATGGGCCCACTATGGGCTATTCAAACTCGCCTCTGTCACCTTTCTGACCCTTCACAAAGTATACCGACCGTGCAGCAGTGCAGGCCCTGTAGATGTTTCGGGTGAGTTTCTTTGAGTCTTTGTGCATATTTTGGAGCCCCCACGGTGCACGATTGGACAGACTTCAAAACAGCGCCTTGTGTGTGGTTCGGATCAGGGCAAGACCACGCGGTACTTGGATGTACTTGGACTGTAATTCTTCATCGAAAACTGTTTGATTTGCTGCAAAAACTCCTATCACGGGTCGTTGAGGTTGGTACCGATTCCCAACGCGAACTGTTTTTCCGTTTCGAGGCTGGACTCATCGCACATGTTCTCACCGTTTCATGATGTTCAAAGCTTGGCAAAAGGCAGGCATGTGTAGGAAGTGTAGGAAGGAAGGCGGGCTGCAAAAACCTGGCAGCTTTTGAATGCTGGCGGCTCGCGATACTCTGCCACGGACATAGCAGGACCTTGCGCAGTTTGTGCACCATTCCGAATCATTCCTTGACGTTGTCAGTGATGTCAGTGCAATGAACAGTACAACCATTGGAACATCCAAGCAGATTCCAAGCAGATTCCAGTGCTGCACCAGGCTTCCGTGGCAAAGACCTTGCGTGAGCGTTGGCAAAATCGACCTGGCGCGTTGGCAGCATCTCAGACTTCAAGGGAGCGCTGGGCCAGCTGGGGACCGGTGCCACAGGGAACGGGTCATTTGAGTCGTTTGCATTCATTATATTCATTTAAATGATTTGCTAAGACTGCGCTCATCAAGCGCTTTGGTGGCCGCTTTCCCTTCGATGCGGAGCAGCAAATCAGGTCAGCGGAGTTGGGTTCATTGTTCAAGGGAATTCTGGAGAATCCGTCAGTTGTCCGCAGTGTTTCAACTGTTTCAAACATACGTAGCCAGCTTCTTCCGGCACAAGTGATGCTGAGATGCAACATGATGCAACCACTTACGGGACCAGAACCAGCCTTGTGCCAGCCTTGTGCCAGACTTGTTTGGATTGTTTGGCAGGTTGTGCTTTGGACTCCTTCCCGAGGACCTGATTTTGGCCTCTAAGAGCAGCGAAGTGTATCAAAGTTTTCAGTGCATTCTGTGAGTCAGTTGGGCATGGAAAATAATCGTTTATGTATTTCCACTTCAAAGACATAAATCATATTGAACATAAATGAACCTGGCATTCTACTTAACAAGCTATTAATATGTACAATATGTAATGTACAAATCTGCAACATATTGGGCATCCCTACAGCATCCTACTTGTACAGCCGAAGAGTGTTGAGTTGTAGAGGAGGACTCAACAAGCCCTTGAGGGCCCCCCCCAGCCGCGGTGCAGTGAAGCGAGGACACCCTGAGAGGGTCCTTTTTCGATCAGAATTTCACCACTGATCGAGATGAAGTGACACTTGCCGAGAAGACCAAGTTTAGACCATACAGTCATTCCTTATCATTCAAGAACCCGTCTTCGTTGAAGGCAGATCTTGCCGATTGGGTTTCCGAATGCTTACGACCTCTAGTGTGGTTTGGAAGTCTTTGTGTTCTTCTGAGAAAGAGCTGTGCAAACAGTGATACCACACTGTTTGGATCGCGCCCGAGGATGGAGGTGTTCCTTGCGATCGATCAAGATGGCAACGGTATGCTGACAAGGCCTCTAGGGCCTCGCCTTTGGAATGCGTTTGGACTAGCAGTTGTGGGCACTGATCACGAAACATTGGAAAGCAATGGAAAGCACATCAGCAAACAAGGCAAACAAGTGACACATAGTGACACATAGTGACACATAGTGACAAGATGTGACAAGCGGATTTTGTTCTCCAGGAAAGAGATCGAGAAGGCCTTTGTGTGCAAAGCTCAGAGGATCATATGACAACGACTGGATGTATAGAGATCAAAATGAACTCCGGGAGCCTTGTCAAGTCACTGCCCTGTTCAGATGTCTTCCAATTGCCTTTGTGGCACACCATGAAACGATTCCGTGTGAGCCGGAATTTACAGTACACCCGACCGCCGTGAGTTCTGGTCTTATATTATAGAATATATTTCTTCTAGCTTAAGGTTCTGTGCCCAAATAGATATTTAAGAATAGAAGCAGCAGTGCAGATTTTTTCCCAGATTCCCTCAAGAGAACTGCTTACAGAAAGCTACCACAAGCAACCCATTGCGTGTGTGAGTTTTTTTTTGCAGTGAGCTCCAGCCTTGAGAAAGGACATGTCGGACTAAGTCGGTGTCACTTCGAGGTCCTTGGGTGATGGTTGGCTATCAAATCCTGAGATGGAGTGACTTGGAGCAGTGACACTAGGCTTAGCCGCTAAGCCTTTCACTTTCCCAGTGATCTACGCTTCCTTGCATACCTCATTCACCCTCAGTCACTATATTTGCAGCCAGGGCTTTAAGACATGACATCTTTGTCAATACTTGGATCCTATGACACATCAAACAATGTCGAACGGATCTTGCAGGGCTCTGCACCAACCAAGGTGGAACGAGAGACTAAGAATCTTGTGTTTTGTGCTCTTGACATGTTCTCATTTTCCAAAGTTTCTGGCTCGCCGTGTTTTGCTTTGCTGAGGCAAATGTTGGAAGATGCGTTGGCCGACAGTAAGGGAGAGGTGCTGCACCTGATCGATGTTGGCGTGACAGAGAAGTAGCACGTCTGGGCCGAAGTAAGTTACAAGTTGCATGGGCATCAAAGAAACAAAAGCACTTGCACCATTCTTGACCAAATAAGATCTAGCAGCGCAATCAACGGCACAGAGTTTTGGAAGGTGCTCTTGAAAGAATGGATGTGAAAAAAACGTAGGAACCAGTACGGACATTCTTTTGTTCATTTTTGTCCATTATGGGTGTTAGCCGTAACGGACGTGTTTGTGTTCAATTGGATATTTGGGTGTTTGATTGTGAGTTGTTCAAATCCGTGACAGCCCCAGGTTTCCACATCCTCCGCCTCCCAGTAATTTCAGCCCAAAATGGAGCAGATTGGGAGTCATGATAGGGTACCCAAATCTGGCCACAAATAGTGTCATCTTTGCCACCAAATTTGGGTGTACCCATAAACTACTCGTATTTTTTCAACATCATGTTGAAAAGATTGCAGCCTGACATGGCTGTATTGCAAAAAAAACATAAAGGACAAAAGCAAGCAAACACAGGTAAAGGCAGAACAATTGGTCTTTATACCGTAGTGGTTCAGGTTATACATACATACATACATACATACCATACTATACCATACCATACCATACCATACAATACAATACAATACATACACACACAGACATACATACATACATACCATACCATACCATACCATACCATACAATACAATACAATACAATACATACATACACACACACAGACAGACAGACATACATACATACCATACCATACCATACCATACCATACAATACAATACAATACAATACAATACAATACATACATACACGGACAGACAGACATACATACATACATACATACATACATACACACATACATACATACATACATACATACACACACATACATACATACATACATACATACATACATACATACATACACACACATACATACATACATACATACATACAGACACACACACACACATACATACATACATACATACATACATACACACATACACACACACATACATACATACATACATACATACATACATACACACATACATACACACACACATACATACATACATACATACATACATACATACATACATACACACACATACACAGACAGACAGACAGACAGACAGACATATTTATGTTTATATATAAACGTTCATTGCTGAAGGATTTCAGCCAAACATTTTTCATCAACAGCACGCCCGGCCCTCGGACAGGTCGATGTGTTTGGCTTCAAATCGGCGATCGCATCATCTGTCACAGCAGCACGTCGAAGGCAAGCGCAGGCAACATCGGGCATCGGGCAACCCTTGGAGTCGCTGGGCTGTAACCGAAGTTGGTTGACAAACCTTAACAAGTTATTTGGTTATATTTGGTTACATTGTATTTGTTTGCTGTTTGGAAGTTTGATTTGGAGCCCTGCAATTTATAAGATTCAAGAAACATTGGGTGAAACGACTTTGATGATCTGTTGGCTGTGTAATATCTGCAGCAAAAGGCACTCTAGAAGAAATGAACAGATTCCTTTTTACTGCTTCCTTCACGCCCACGCACCTCTCGGGTAGCTGAGCGATGAGCGACGCATCGAACACCGTTGGAATCAAGAAAGATACCAAGTAAACTTAGAGGGGGAAATCTTATGGGAAGAGCCGCCCTCAAGAGCGTGGGTGAGAACCCCAAACCAACAGGCACCTTCAGACCGGGGGCAGAAGGAACCGAAATGAACAGATTCCAGAGCTGGGTTTATTCTTTTGGTTGCCGAAGATGGGGCCAGCAGCTAGCCATTTCACTGGAGGTTGTTGAGAGGTTGTTGACATCAGATGTTCACAGGTTTCCCACATTTACTTCACACTTCTGCATCATTCTGCATCATTCTGCATCATTCTGCATCATTCTGCATCATTCTGCATCATTCTGCATCATTCTGCATCATTCTGCATCATTCTGCATCTTTGTCTTTCTCCCATATGCATCCGGAGACTCTCTCATGTCATGTCCAGGGCATCCCGGACACTGAGTGGTGGAAAGACCCTGCTGCCTTAGTGCCGGCGCCGCTGCTGGAAACTGCCACGCCTGGACCCTGTTTCGGACCATTGCGATCCATTGCAATGGGCACAGTGCACACGCTGTCGCCCGTGGCTATCGCTTCATTCGCTTCATTCAGTTCTTTCGATTCTGGTTCTTTCGGTTCACTGATGAAAGATTGCACCACTGAAATGTTCGAGACGCGATACTGTGAATCTATGTGAATCTACTGTTGCTACTGGTATCTGCTACGTGTTACTGTCATTGACTCGATTGGCTGCCTTGGACCTCGAGGCCGGAACTCCTTCGTGAAGCACATGAAAGCTTCCTGCGACAAGCGGAACAAAAGGTGCTGTACTAAGTACATTCTTAAGTACTAGGAGAACAGCATAGAACAGCAACCTCCAGAGGTCCCAACCCTGTGTCACATCATGATGATATGGAGTCGGCCTGGCTTTTGTTTATTTTTTGCCTGTTCAAGGCCAAGCAGCCCTTGATGAGGGAGCGGCCGCTAAGTTTGCGGGTCTATGTCTGGTTGCCCGGAGAGAGACCCAATGCTTCAATCACCGGGAGAATCGGTGAGATACAGCCCAGCAACTCTGTTGGGAAGCCCCCCAACTGGATTCGTAGCAATTCCATCCACTTCCCAACGGCAAACTGGGGCAAATTTGGGGAACTAATACGAACAAATCTTTGATACTTCTTGCTTCTGATCGAAGTGCGACTCTAGTCATCCGCGGTCGATTTTTCTTCGACATTAAGAAACATCCTTGATGACAGGGCTTTGGGTGTGGCTCAAATGATTTACTGCTCAAATTCAATGGTAAAAAGGACGAACCCCCAAACCGGTCCTTTCATGGCGGAGATTTTGAGACCAACCGTAGATTGCCCAAGCGTATGCGTTGGTTTTGTGCACGCGCTTGCCTGAGGCGCTGTATACCCTAGCAGGCGCTTTCATGGGGGGGCGGAGATGTCTTGGGTTTCTTGCTGATACGTACATTTTGAGAATCCATGGCGAAATGAATGTGAGGTCCACAAAGAGGTCCACAAAGTGCTGAAAGATGCTGAAAGAGAAAATTTGGGGCAAGATGGGGCAGTTCAACTGGGCCACAGACACCGAAATTACGGGTTGAAACGACCACCCCTTGGCGTTGGAACCAGGTGCACTCGCGTGTACTGTCACACATGTGGCCCTGGTCCCAATTGATGTTGCGCCCTGACTGCAGTGTGGACTTGAGTTGGAACATTTGCTTTTGCATGAATTAATCAATTATAATCAATTGATATGTTTCCAAACTCCTTATGCATCCTTGTTCCAGTTTTCCAGATTTTTCTGGGGGCTTTCAAACTTTCAGTTGTATGCTGCACCAGTCGCAGCTTGCTCAGCGTTTGAACATATTTGAACATGAACATGGTTGACATATGTCAACATGTCATGACATGTCCCACTGTTTCAAAGCTCCTCATTGTCACCCCATGGAGTGAAAAATGCTGCCCAGGTGAAGACGCTTCAGCAGACTGAGCCTAGTCACTATGGTCACATGGGCTTGATAGCTGGTGCCCAGCAATTGAGACAGGAGCACTTTGAAATTTGAACATTTTGAACCTTCGTGCTTTCAAGCAGCACCATGTATTTATTGTAACCTTTTGTAGCATCTTGCAACATTTCGTAATAGATTGACTTTATTTTAACTATTTGATCGTGCTTTTCAGATGCTGCTTGTCGACCTGAGCATGTCGCATGTCGCAGGAGAGCGGCATCTCTGCGCTTTTCTTGGGCGTTACCCCTACCCTAGCAGGTGGAGCGGTGGAGCGGTGGAGCACGCAGCTCATGACAGTTCCACATAGTTCCGCCGCCATTCGTAACGATGTCAAGCAGTTGCTTAAAAGTTATATACAAACTCTTCGTCATATCAGTCATGTTTACCATGTTTGCTCTGGGTGCTCTTGTATGTGCTCTTGTGCACGTTGAATCAAAGACCATCGAGACAGGTAGGATCAATTGATAAATTCCAGTCACGTGGCCCAGGGCGAGCTTGTAGGGCTGCCATTCAGCTGTGCAGGTTACGCCTGGTACGGAGCATCAGTATTTCCCGGCTATGTGCTGAGCTCAGTGAATCCGCTGCACAATCTGTCAAGTTTTTGAATGCGTTTGTCAAATGCTGCTGGGCGAGACTTTTCGACAAACGCATTCTCCAAGACCTCCATCCAAGACCCTAGCGGCCCTAGCGGCCCTAGCTTTTTCATGCTTTTTCCACTTTTGAGCGACTGGATCGCCCAAGCTAATTTCATTGGCTGATCATGGACCCCAAAAATCACAGAGAGAGAGAGAGAGACGCACAACTCAGAACAACTTCAGAGGATAACTTGATAGGACAATTTTAGGATATATGATACGTACACACACACATAGGAGAGGCCTGAGGTATCCTGAGGTTCCCCGGAGCACGGAGGAACCTTGAGTCTCTCTCTGATAGATACAATTCAGCATACAGATGGGGGGGATGTTCACGTTCATTGCATTGCGTCGTCAGAAGATGAGATGTTAATCTTCGTTGTTGCATACAGATGGGGGGTGGGGGGATGTTAACTTTCATTGCATTGCGTCATCAGAAGATGAGATGTTACGTTAATCTTCGTTGTTGCATACAGATGGGGGGTGGGGGGACTGTTAACGTTCATTGCATTGCGTCATCAGAAGATGTTACGTTGAAGATGTTGTTACGTTGAAGATGTTGTTACGTTGAAGATGTTGTTACGTTGAAGATGTTGTTGCGTTGAAGATGTTGTTGCGTTGAAGATGTTGTTGCGTTGAAGATGTTGTTACGTTGACATTGTTGCGCTGAAGATGTTGTTACGTCGAAGATGTTGTTGCGTTGAAGATGTTGTTACAAATGCTTTCAAAACGGATTTGTGGATGTGAAGAGAATAAAAAGCCTAATGTGCATTTCGCCCATGGTTCTCTAGTGGATTATGACATTTTTATATCAATCAAAAGAAACCTGAAATTCCAAACAACACGCAATTCCCATGGGATCTACCAAAAGAACATAAATGGAAGAACTTACAAAACAAAAACATGCAAACATCGGACAACATATCCCAGATATGTTGTCCGCATGTCGAACTGATTCCTTGTGTTCTCAAGTTATGGGAAGAACACAAAACACTGTAAAACAGAGTGAATAATGACATTTTTCAAAGTTGAAAACAATGAACTTGAATTGCTTTCCGGGGAACCTCAAGCCTCTACCCTATATATATATAATATATTAACTAGTATGAAATATGTACAATATATTGTAATTTGATGTAATTTGGCTCTAATGGGTCCAGGATCTTCGAATTCCAGTCGGTTTGTCGAGGAATTCTTCAAGCGGAAACTGATGGAGATCTTGGGGCCACGGAGAGCTGTCACTCAGCGGCCGTTGCGGCCCTTGGAGACCGCTTTTTGAAGACAAAAAAGGATCAAAACCCTATAAGATCACATAGAAACACACGACAACACATGATAAAACACATCATTTCACACGTATTCACTGTTTGTTAAGATGAAATATGTTTCACGAAGCATTATGAAGGTTCATTTTATGACGGAATGGGATGGATGGAAAGGAATTTTTTAAATGTCCTCCTGGTTTGTTTCGGCGTGCAAGGCCGAGGAGGTTCATTCAGTCCAACCCACTCATCCTACTGCAACTGATCATCAAGTCGCTAGGTGAGGTAAGACGTCAGATGCAGCAGTAGTTTAAAAATGCAAGGGCCTGCAAGGGTGAATGTGGCTGTAAGGGAGCCACAACTTCCGCTGCAAAACCAACGCCGCCCTCCAAACTCACAACGCATACATTTTGAACCACGTTTCAAAATGGATAAGGTCAATGTCCAGATGGATAGGATTTGGAGATGGATCCACATAGAATACCAAGCCACTGCGATTTGAGGCGCGGTTGCGGATACTGACAATTTTGCTGGCGGGCGCTCTTGCAACCTTCGTGGCCTGCATAGGCACATTGCGTGCGAATGGGATGTGTTGCATCGTGTTGCATCCACCTTTGACGCTCTTTGTTCATTTCCCTTCTCCTGCGGTGATTGTGGTGACTTTGAGCATCACAGACATCCGTTTCTGCAGGAGTTTGCCCGGCAGAGGCCATTGGGGCATGGCAAGGTAAAAAGAGTCCAGGCTACTATTCAGCTTCTAAAATCTTTGGCCCACAAGATGCTTTAAGGATTTTGTATATACTCAGGGATTCCAAGATACGGTTCTACAATTCAATTTGGTATCATTTGCTTCCAGCGTTTGTTGCCCCAGATGATTCAGGCTGTGCGCATTCGCACCGTGGCAGAACGAGGCAGGGTTGTATGATGTTGTCAGTTGTGCTTGGTTGCGCTTGTTGAAGCTGGATCGGTTGGATAGCGTGGACTCTGCGACAGGTTTCCAAACTACCTTCATGGGATCACTGTCTCAGCAACTTGGAAGAAGGCATATTTGTTCCAATGTGGCACAACCTGTCTCCGTTTTGGTCTTCACAAGAAAGGTAAAGTTCACCAACGAAACCCAAGGGAAATGCCAGGTTCGATACATGATGCTACAAGATGATACAAACTTCCAGGAGTCAGATCTTTTTGCTGAAAGTATTTCCCATGAAATGGTGCGTGTGAAGACCAAACGGGGTTAGGCAGCTAGGCATGGTTAGGCAGTGAAGCCATGTGAAACCACTCTTTGAAGCTCTTTGGTCCCGGCCAAACTGAACCCGCGACTCCGGTGGTCACCGAGGCTCTTTGCTGGCTTCCCGCCGCTGCTGCTGCGCCAGGCACAGCGTTTGAATCGTTCACACGTTTTTCATCGTTTTTCCGTGTTTCCCTTGTCATCCTGCCTTCGAACTGAGTGCAAGGACCTTCCCACTACCAACTATGCCAAAAAATCTAAAACATGCTAAAACCATTGCAGTACACTTGAAAGTTTCTGACCCTGTTTGTCTCTGAGAGGGGCTCGAGTACGATGATCGTAAAAGATAAACAAAGAAGTGGCTGGCTTTCCTCGCTTTCCTCGCTTTCAGGTCTTCTTTGGAATGGCCAAATTTTTAGTCTTTGACACAGTGGCTGCCATGATCTATCGGCAGTTCCCCTGGTTGCACAACAGGAGCAACTGGGGTCGGGGGCACTCCGCGCAAGACAACCTGAGTATTTGTAAATATGGCAATCGGTGACATGGGCATGGTGAGCCATGACAGAATGTCCGAAGTGCTAGTCCATCTTAATCCTTTTATTGATGATTTATGTTATGATTTTATGATCATTTTATTCTGTGTATGAATCATTTTAAGCGCCCAGGGTTTTTGCGAGTGCAACTGATCAGTACATCCTTTTCGTTGAAGCTGCCACCTTTAAAGCCTTCAAACATCTTCAAACTGCGGGGAAGATCTGTGACTTATGACAAGTTATAACATGTTATAAGTCTAGATTGTATGTTGGTAGGTCTTGGTAGTTACCCAATCTTGCAGGTAGTCCCATTGTTTTGTTCACCTTGGCTGAAAATACTGGGTGCAGGAAAAGGAACTCGTCATTGGTGTCGATGTTCTCTGGAGCTCTCGCAGGTGTAGCTTCGAGTTGATGTGAGAAATTATCAAAGCCACATTGAAATGTTTGAGAAAAAACAAATTGAACTGCATCAGGAAACATCTGAAAACACAGCATTCCCCGAGATGGCTGTTCGATTGTCCTTGGATCTTGGCAATGACCATTGTGCCATCCTTGTACCATCCTTGCATTAGTCCTTCAACATATTTTACATATTCCAACTTATTTCAACAGGTTGTAATGCCGTTCGCCGAGACTGAGAGCTGCCAGGCTTCATATCAACTTTGGTGAGCCAACCGGCTGATGCGATTCTGACCAGATTGGCTGCAGTGCCGCAGCTAGGCACGTGGAAATCTCCGAAGGTTTAAGAGCATTTCAAATCACACTCAAAATATCGATGCAGAAGAATAGCTGTCAGGCTATCAGAAGGCAGAATGATCATGAAATGCTCATAATTAGAACAGCTGTTTGATCCACAGCGACCAGAGACAGACTTGATCATGATCTCTAGGCTTGAGTTCATTTGCGTTTGCAAATGACAACGGCAGGGACACTGTCATTCATGCTGCTGAACAAGCTTTTCAGAGAAGTTCTGCAAATGTCCAGCAAATGTCCAGCATCATATCTGAACTTCCTTGGATTTGCATACCCTACAGGAATTGCCAGCGCGGCGCTGTCTCTTTGGCAGGAAGGCAGGAACCTGGGAAGGACAGTTGATGCAGCGTGTGCCGAAACACGCTGAAAGTCTCTCAGTATCTCTGCCGTCTCTCAGTGCAGTTTTGCGTGTTTGATCCACTTTGATCCACTTTGATCCATTTTGATCCTCAGGCCGCATCGGTGCCTTCTTTGTTGGCTTCTCTGCCCGCGCCATCTTTGCTGCGCTCATCATTGGAGGGTGCGGACGGGACCTGGACGGGCAAGGTGAAGAGGTTGGACGTGGATTGCGACTCCACGAGCGAAGTGCTTCCGCAGTTTCTTTTTGCATTTCAGACTTTTCAGAACTTTTCAGAACTTCATAAAACTTTAATCTTTCAGAAACTTTCAGTTGACGCCAGCTTGACCAACATAATCCACCTTCATTATCTTCATTCCGCAGTATCCTTGTGCACGTTTGCCGTCAGCAAAGCAGTGGCTTCTGGAAAGTGGTAAACACAAGTAAACACAAGATTACATGAAACTTTGACCATCACTCCAAATCCACTTCTATTGGGTAAAGACTTGAGATGACTTGAGATGACTTGAGTTTTGTGATGTTTTGCGATACCCGGGAAGATGTATGAAGATGTTATTCCTGCAGAATTCCATCTCGAGTTCTTTCGTCCCAGTCCTAGATTGAGGCGCAACTTTAGGCCAGCTTATTTTAGAGACCCAATAATAAGTGCAAGAGGACTCAAACAGATCCTCGACTTGGTTTTTGTTGGTTGTTGTCTCATTAATCCTACGTAGTATTTTAACATGTTTTTTTGTTTTTGTCTCAATGCCGAATGCTGTTTGCGCAAGATTAAACTAACTGACATATCATTGTCATCTCCCACCGTTCCATCTCCGCGCATTGGATGTCAGGCAGTTCTTGCTTTACGATGTGGCCAAGAGGCACAGTTCGGGTTGCTGGAATTATTGCACGGTTTGCTCATTCTTTGTGGGATTCGAAGACAAATGAATCAAATACCTGCCATCTAAAGGATTTATGATGATTTATGTGTAGGTTTTTGTGCAGAAGAACCCTCACAAATGCAATGGATGCAGATACTGATTACTGACATTGGGAGCCTTCTTAAGACGAAGGCTACTGTTGGGATCCAGCTGATTTGGACAGTTTTTCAAAATCCTTTGACCGTCCTGAACGGTCTCAACCTGTATCAACATGTCTCAACTGTCTTAATCGTCTTAACTTACATCAACTTACGATCCTGTGGCGCCTGTACGATTCTTCGGTGGTGAAGAGCCGCCGAAGGCTCTTCCGCGTGACGCACGCAGACTTGTCGCAGCGGGCAGATGTGCTCACCACCGCGCTCCGAACCGAAAAGCTTCCAATGCTCATTGCAGAGCAAGGAGCTGAATCGATTGTCAACTCATGTCAACTCTGTCAGCTTCACTATCTTCACTTTATGTTTTTATCATGTGTCTTCAGGGAGGTTGGACAACTCGACGAAAACCGGTAGCAGATGAGACACACTTTGGGGAATAACAGGAACATCTTGCAGCTGAAAGCCTGGAACACTGGAACTGGGAGAATCGGAGGATGAGGATTTACATGGATTACATGGATTTATATGGAATTTTTGTGGTGACGCTATGATCAAAACTGGAGTCAGCCTTCCCAAGCAGCTCGTCAATGTCAGGACGTCAAGCAACCGTGGCCCCAAGGGCAGCGGCCAAAAGATCTTCAGTTCCTCGCATTCGGTGGGGCTGCTCAGACACACGCCACATTAACCGCTACTGTACCATTTTTCTCAGAAAAATCTCGTGTACACACTGCATCTCCATATTCGATTCTCTCTATCTCTCGATCTCTCTAGATAGATCAGATCAGATCCAATCCGATTCGATTCGATTCGATTCGACTCGACTGATAGATAGATAGGTAGATAGGTAGATAGATAGATAGACCGATAGACCCACATGACCTACAATGTTCTAGCTTCTAACTCCTGAACTTGGTATTATACTGTGGAACGTGCGCAGCATTTGTTCCAGCAAGCATGTCGGATTCAAGGAATAAAGACGTGAGATGCAGGATTTGAAACTCGTGCAAGAACTACTGGCAAAGTGCGTGATGCATATATATATTTATATAATTATATATATAATATCCAGATAGACACTCTCTCTCTCTATAATATATATATATATATATTCTATCTATCTAATCTATCCATCTATCTATCTATCATGAATATACAATTCACTGCGCTTTACCAACTGGTGGAGACTCAACGAGTGCACTGATCATGGACATTGAAAGATCTTTTCATTGCCGAGGTTTGGTGCTGTGCGAACACTCACTGGACGCTGGCTTAGACCAAGGCAGTTGGTGAGATGACAATCCCTGAGTCGTGGCGCGGGCGCTTTTGGGTTGGACCGAAATCGGAGAAGACCAACCTGCTGTGCTGTCCCCATCCGGCTTTGGGAGGTGTTCTCTAGGTTCTAGAATAATCGGCATATCATCGGCCAGATTGTTTTTTCTTGACCAACTGTTTTGTTTGTCTATGCTGAGACATTTCCAAGGTTCTGCAAGATCGTCTGAAATCTAGACAGCATCCTATTTTAATTGAACATCTTCTCGGAAAGCACACTTCGATTGATCTTGATGGGTCTTGATCAAACTTATCTTTCTCTTCTCATCTCTTCTCTATTGATTCTATTGTCGGCCCTCGAGTGTTTACTCAAAATTACTCTGAAGGTTGCGATGTCGGGATGATGGCACAGATGTCGGACAGGGGAGAGATGGCAATACAGGAGCTCGAGCTCCGAATCTGAACGGCGCATGGAGCATGCAGAATCCAAAATGATTCGGAACCAAGAAAAGGTTTGGCTTCACGGCTGAACCACGATGTTAAACATTGTGGAAGTACGAATTCCCAATTTTTGAAGTGTTTGTCCATATTTGTCATGTCGATTTTTTGTTCAAGTGACTTTGGAGGATTCCATGGAATTCCATGAGCCCCGCTTAATTGCCAGCAATTTTCACAGCGCTGAGACGCACGTCGGGGTAGATCGACTCAGCAGGGCTGCAGCTCAGTCAGTGGAGAACTGGAACAGTAATAGAATGTCATTGGTACAATCCTTCTCTCTCTCTCTACTACATTCTACTACTATATCACAATATATTGCAATATATTATGCATGTATAAACCATATCAAAGAATATCATATTCATTCATTTTCTATGTATATGTATGTATGTAGATACGTACGTATAATATATATATATATGTATATGGTCCCGTCCTCCGTCTCCCTACCCCCCACTGCCGCAATATGGGTTGGGTACCCGCCCATCCCTCCCCACCCTGTTCTCCGCCCTGGCCTTCCCCTGCCCCTACCCTCCTCCAACCCACCCAAACAATGCCTGGGACTAATCCAATGTTATACTTGTCACACTTGTTTTTCTTGCTATGTAAGATAACTAGGTACCAAATACTGTATCTTACACACTACCTGCAAACTACAATCTATTGCATGTCTATATACAGCGGACCGACGATGGACTTCTATGCCCTCCTTGCGGGCGGTTCACGGATAACTCTCGGCTGCATTTTAGTCACACGGTACACAGTCAGGGGGTGATGGGTAGGACCAAGTGAGCGCAACAAAACCCTGGATGGGGACGGTGGTTCAAAGTATATCGAAGGACGGAACATTTTGTGCGACAGGACATTATGCGCTTAGGAGATCAAAGTTTCTAATGGAGTGAACTAATCCTCTGACTACGGTCAGGAGTCTCTCTGAGGTGAAAGGTTTTGTAGTTTCTTGAAGGTTATGGGGGCAGAGAGCGGAAACAGTCCATCATGCGTATTAACTAGGCCCTCTTTGTCTATGGTAAATTGGCCCTGGACACTCACACCAAAAATCAGGTGTACCCCGACAAAGGTCCCAAAGTCCGCCACCTCCAGGGGCGTGGAAAAGGCAAAGGTGGAGGCAAAGGTAAAGGAAAGGGTAACGGCAAGAAAGGGGGTGTGGCAGCGAGGCCTGGATACCGGATCATCCTGGTTTGTACCCAATTAGAAGATACTTCCGGCTGTTCTTCTTCCTCCTCGTCTTCGTGCTTTCCTCCTTTCTTGCCTGCCGGAACGCTTGGTCAAGGTGAGGGAAACCCCAAGTGGGTCCCTCAAGGTTGGCAGTGGTCTATCGGGGCCCTGCCAGGTGATCATAGTTCCAGCCTCTGTGCCTTCTATCCTCTCCTTCTTTACTTTTACGATGTGACTCCGCTGCATGATTCCCCGAAGATGGAGCTACACCGAGATTTGAGTTTTGCGTTGCACGTAGTTTTTCGGACTGACACTTTTTCACTATCCCAGAGTTTGTGTTGCGTAGTGCGTTAAGCCACCGGATGGCTTTCAACTCCCGAAGGATTCAACTATACAGTACAGATTCCTCCCAGGATTGTAACTTGTAGGTAGGGTTCGCACTGTGCAAGGTCGACGAGTCCATGTCACGGGTCGCGATCATGATCATGATCATCATCATCGTCATCATCATCATCATCATGATCATGTATGTATACACATATTACTAATAGGATACCCAAGTATCTAACATTACCTAACACTATGTACCAAGCAAACGCCTATATAACCTAATGTATACCTATGTAGTACCCATTGCATGCCTATGTAGTGCTCACATCATGCCTATTTAGCCAACACGTCATACCTAACATTTAGCCTATAGTACCCCATGTACACTACAAAAATATGTCCTATATTCCTATTCCATACCTATGTATAATATGTATATACAGATATACAGATATACATACATGTATATACATACTCATATAGTGGATGTATCATGAATATCTTATGGATATGTCAGGAGTCTTCCAGACGGTTGTACAGAGATTTTGGTGTAAAAACAGAAAACTTGGGAAATACGACCATGCGGCGTAGAACCTGTCGTTGTGGGTTTACTGCCACTGGATACAGCATTTGTAGTGCAGCGAGCTTGTCTACATAGTGTGACGAAGCCTGGGCTGTGACCCCGCAATCTCACACTTTTCATACTGAGAACCTGCTCCTTGGCAGAAGATGCAGAAGTACATGACCCGCAGGGCACTCTTCAAACAAGTTACATAATGCACCAGTACATATCATCCACATCATCCACATCATCCACATTCCACATTGGGGGAGAACAGGGGCTACTCCAGTGTCAAAAGCATGGAATCAGTCGTGTTTCCACCATTCATGGAATGGATTCGAGAGGAAAAACTGAGGTGCACAAAAAACAGGCAAATGATGAGAATGATGACGATGACGATGACGACGACGACGACGACGACGACGACGTCGACGACGACGACGACGATGATGATGATGATGAATGAGGTTCAATGTATACATAATGGATAAACAAGTCATAATTGATTATCGTCCTCTACGCCTAGACCTGAAGTGGGTTTCTTTGAGAGAAAGAAATAGGATTGGCGTAACCGCTCGTGGGTTGCTCCCGAATCATCATGGATATCCATATCGATAGCGGACAACCCATGGGGTGGCTTGATTGGAATTGATTTGCTGTACTTGGCTAAGCATGACGCAGAGGGTTGGAGTAGTCACCACAGCTTAATTTGACCTTGGTCTATTTTCGATGTTTTGCAAATGGTCGCGTATTGCGATTGAAACATATTGAGATTTTGGTGCCAAAAAAGTGATCCCCTCGTATCTCCACAGTGCAGGAATGCTCGGGAGCGGGAGAGCCTTAAAATTTCCTCAAATATCCTCAAATGCTGACGGGCTGACAAGACATGACAAGACAACAATGTGACTTGAAGATACTTTGACATACTTTAACATGAAAATTCTCATGTGGAGATGCCCTGAAGGTCAATGTAGTGCGCTGGCACCAGCGCGTGGTCGAACTTTGGGCAGACCATCCTTGGGCCGTGATCATCCATGAAAGTGTTGAGACGTGTTGAGACAAAACTACCTCCAACTACCTGCTTTGGAAAAAACATTGATGGATGATCTGACACGTGGTTTGGCGAGGCCAAAACCCCAAGTGCAAGCGACAAAAAAAATCTACGCCGAATGCGATGCCAACCTGCTGGTACATGCAGTCATAGTGGAACCAACATCCGACAGTACCATTTTTCTTGATTTCTCTAAATACCAAAGCAGAATGAAAATGCAGTTTGAACGACTGCAGGGTGTATTCTAATATGACTGGACCCCAAAGAAAGACAGAAAACTTAAAGGGAATCAGCAGGTCTGGTGTGGCAGAGGATAGCTGAAGATATCCAAATATGCCGCAAATGCTACGGTTGCTGCAATAAGCCGCTTTTGCTTGGCCGGCTCAGTTCCAGTGGCTTAGGGAACACACGCGCACGCACACACACGCACACACACACACACGCACACACACACACACGCACACACACACACACTGTCATACCTTGATATACCTTGTATCAACACATCACAGTCAGAACAGGAAAACCGTCACAGTCTGCCTTGGAAGAGCCGTTGCTTGCCTCCAAGCGTCTGCTGTGAAGCTCTAGTGTGTCCGCAGCTAAGCTCTAGTGAAGGATGGGCCGAGAATGCAGTTGGACAGGTTGGACATCGCTGGAAGTTGGATGTTATTTTTGGCTGGAGAGTGCATGGTACAGTCAGGCCATTAAGATCATATTAAGATCATTCAGTCGCATTGATTTTCAGGCGGACTTCTCGGGGTCGCATCAATTTTTATTGTGCGCAGATTTGGGTACAGATTTGGCACTCATTTTGGCTTTGCCTTATTTTTATTCGTGATATTTCATGATATTGTATGCTTCACTCTGAGTCCGCTAAACTGGGATAAACTCGCAAGCAGGTTGCCAGTCTGCATTATTAGCATTACCTGGCACATCCGGTGCCGAGGCGCCGGTGCAATCTGCACTTGTGCGGTGATTGGAGCAAAAATTAGATCCGGTGATAGCACAAGTGCGGCGATTGCATCGTTGCAACAACTTCATCGCAGAGCCCGACATCGCTCAGAGCTAATGTCAGTATGCGCTGTGGTGCACCATAGGCGGGAGCGCTGGGTGCAGAGGTACAGAGTCGTCCAGGATGGTTTCTCGAACCCCAAGTTCTACCAAGACGTGAACTTGTTTGAACCATGTCAACGTGTCCAATGCTGTCTCCCACTCAAGACAAACTGAAACCTAGCCTGCATATGCAGATGCAACCTGTCGTAACCTGTCTCTTTTCCTTTTCTCCATCCAGTTGCCATGTTCTTGCTTGAAAGGCCTGTGACAGACACTCTGTTGCATTGTGCAACGTGAAAATTCCTGACTTTTCTGCATTTCAGGCAGAGACCTGGCCAAGATGTTCCAGAGGCCGCGGCTGCCCTCACAGCACCTGAAAGCTGGAAGCTCTTTGGCCTTGTGTGATTCCATGATCAGATATGATCAGCACATTTTGGCCCTTGAAATCCTAAAAACAAAGACAAGCAGAGTGCTCATGGAATAAATGTATTGCAAATGTTGGATCCTGGGGCCAATAACATCCAATAACCAAATGTAACATTTCTTTTTTCATAACAGACCAAACGTGCAGGAAGGTGTGAGATCAAGAATTTCCCAGCATCCCGTCACGGAAAGTTTCGCCACACTGCATATCATACGGCAGCATAGTGCTATCATACCGGGAACCCGGTAGCATCCGTTAGCACGCAAAGAACTTGTGGGTTGTTGTGTCCCCTTTGGTCCCGATTGGTTGCATCTCTGCATGTGCCATGCGAAATGTGACCCAAGTCGCTGCAAGGGGCAATCCAACCAAGTAGAGTCTGACACAGAGGCGCGCGCTGAGTCCTTTCCATCACCGTTTCATTGACATGTCATGGATAGAACATGATTCAAATAGAAGTCGTTTCCCTTTAGTCAGTGACGCTATCCAATTGTCTTCTTGGACGGGGCACCTTTTGGCTGAGCCAGATAGGAGTTGCGGCAGTGTAATTACTGTATACATCTGTATACTTATTTAAGTGCAAAAAGGCAGAAAATCATTAAGTCGGCAGTTGTCAGTTTGTGCAGCATGTTCTGCGCATTAACACAATCTAATCAATGTCCACCCCGGATTAATAACCCCCCCTAGAGGTCAACAAGGTCAACAAGGTCCAGTCAGGGAGTCAAAAAACCCAACCCCCTGAAATAATGTGCCTTTCACTCATCCATGAACCAATGCTGCTGGAATTAGCTTGCAAATAAGAACCGATGGAGCGTCAATTCTATGGGAATTAGCTGCGTAGTAGCATCCATGAAGCATCAATTTTGATAAACTCAGTTATGAATGAGCATCCATGAAGGGTTGAATGGCTTAAATTTGGGGGGAATAAGCTGGAAATGACCATCAATAAGGCATCAGTTTTAAAGGAAACAGCTGCGTCGTAGCATCCGTGAGGGGGATCGATTTTGATGAAATTAGCTAGACAGTAGCCTCCATGAGGGGTTTGCATTGTTGAAATTAGCTTCGCATTAGCATTCATGGGGTATCATGGGGCGTCAGTTTTTTTTGAAATCAGCTTGTGAATTAGCTGCGTAGTAGCATGCATGCGGGGTCAAGTTTGACATTCTCCGCTTCGAACTAACATCCATGAAGGGTTGAATGGCTTAAATTTGGGGGGAATAGGCTGGACATGGCAATCAATAAGGCATCAGTTTTAATGAAATGAATTTGGGATTGGTGTGCATGAGGGCTCAATTTTTGTGAAATCAGCTTGGGATTGTACAATCGGTTAGCATGCATACAGGGTCGCGAGGGATCAATTTTGATGAAATTAGCTGGGTAGCAGCCTCCACGACGGGTTCGTGTTGTTGAAACTAGCCGCGCATTAGCATCCATGGGGTGTTATGGAGTATCAGTTTTTGTTTTGAAATCAGCTCGGGAAGCGCTGCATAGTAGCGTCCATCACTGGTCAAATTTGATGGACAAAGCTGCGAATTGGGCACGCCTGTGTGCCACAGTGGTGTGTGTTGCGGGCTCTAACCTAGCCCCCTGGCCTCGGGCTCGATTCCCGGGGGGTCTGTTTCACACCATACACAGCTGGCTTGGGTGTTAATTTGTTGTGCTTCTTTCTCTGCCTATGTCTTGCTGCTTTTTTGGCTACCTTTGGTTGCTTTTGTGCCCACCAATGTCTTGGAGCTTTGTTTGGCTGCGTAGCAGTTTGTGTGGCGCCTTTTGCACGGCTTTCTTTCTGACAATCTTTGCTTTGAAGCCTTTGGCTCAAGCGGAAAGGGGATGGAAGAGGGGAAGGGAAGAGGTGCCAATCTCACTTCGCCCTTTACTTCATAAGGTGGAAACATGCTAGAGTGCGCGCAGCCTGTGTACAGCGTGCAGTCTTTTTTCTTTTCTGCGCGTCGAAGGAGGTCACACTTGAAGCCTTTTGTAGTCACCTCTTCCCAAAATCATGAGTCAACCACCAAAACGCTGTTGAAACTAGTGTGCCTGGTAATGGTGTGGCTTGGAACTAATGAAAGCACAGCTCTTGGAATGAAAGAAGCCACTTCTTCCCAACATGATGAGTCAACCCCCAAAAAGCTTTCAAGATGCCCTCTTAATTTTGTCTCTTCCCTTCGCCATATTCATCAGCAGGTGCCATGAGACTGCGCGGCCATCACCTGTATATATGCATATCTACATACGTCGTCGTCGTCGTCGTCCTCGTCGTCGTCGTCGTCGTCGTAGTAGTAGTAATTAGTAGTAGTAGTAGTAGTAGTAGTAGCAGTAGCAGTAGCAGAGTAGTAGTAGTAGTAGTAGTAGTAGTAGGAGTAGTAGGAGTAGTAGGAGTAGCCGGAGTAGCCGGAGGAGTAGTAGTAGTAGTAGTAGTAGCAGTAGTAGCAGTAGTAGCGGTAGTAGCGGTAGTAGCGGTAGTAGCGGTAGTAGTGGTAGTAGCGGTAGTAGTAGTAGTAGTAGTAGTAGTAGTAGTAGTAGTAGTGGCAATGTTGATGTAGTTGTCGAACTAACATATGAGTTAATTGATTGCAAAGTGAAGCACACATAGAAAAAACTTTGGCGGCTGGGCGGGGTTTATTTATTGGGGAGTCGCATGATTTATTTGGGGTGGACGCCGCTCAAGGGGGGTAGCCTTTCCGAGCTCCCAAAAATAGCATTTTTAATTAATAATTAGAATTTTATTGGAAATCGGGGATATGTTTTTTTTTCGTTTTTGGCGTCTTGAAATTGCCAAATGGCAAAGAAATTCTTGCAAGGTGGATGAGGAAACATCAGGCAGTTCAACGTTGATGTAGTTGTTGCATAATTGACTAATTGTGAAATGAAGCGCGTATAGAAAGAAAAAGAATCCCGGCTGGGTGCGCTTTACTAATTGGAGGGTCGCGTCATCTGGTTGGGGGGGGGCACCGCTCATTCGGGGTAGCCTTTCCGAGCTCCCAAAACCAGCATTTTTTTGAGTGTTTTCCCCTCTATTTTTTGAGTTTTGCAATTGCAAAATGGACAATAACATGCTTGGGAGGTGGATGAGGAAACATCATATGATTGCTAAAGTAGTACCACTAGAAACATGGGGAACAGATGTAATTATATATGGATGTGTGTATATTTTTTCAGACAGAATTCGCACACACACACACATATATATATGTATATATATATAGATATGAATCACACGCGCACGCTCGCATATTCTATATATATATATATTTATGTAAAGACCACGAGACCATGAGACAGCAGGCATGAGCCGTGCAGCAAAACAAATTGGCTGCATCAGCAGGATGTGGTAAGCATGAGAAACATGTGGGGGGTGCAACCCATTAAAGGACCGGGTAACCCCACATGTCAACTTCTTCCAACAAGCAGCAAAAGAAAGGTAAAGATGGCATGGGGAAAGCAGGAAAGAGAAAAGAGATGGTGAAGGATTGGTGTGGAGTAAGTTGTGCGTGGAAGAGTAAGTGTGAGTAAGTTGTGTGGTGATGAGTTGTGTGTGAGGTGTGTGTGTGTGTGCGTGTGTGTATGTTTATGAGATTTTTTACTAGCCAGAGGCCAGGATTGTGGATTTTAATTATTTCGTGTTTTTTTCGTGTTTTTATCGTGTTCCGTTTTCGTGATTTTTTCTTGTTTTTTTCCTGCTGTTTTTCCTCTTCTTTTTCCATTATTTGTGGATGTTGTTTTTTGTTTCGCCTTTTGTTTTCTTCTGATTGCCATGCCTTGTCTGATGTGTTGCCACACTTCTCCAACCCAGGTTTTTCAATATTACGACTAAACATGTCTGCAAAGCATTCTTGCAAGAATACAGAATACGAGACATTCGATTTCGGGTCCTCTGGTCCAAACAGGACCCCAACGCAAAAGGGGAAGATGAACACGAAAGAAATAGGAAGAAAACAGGACCCCAACGCAGAAACAAAACGACCACGAAAAAAATACGAAAAAACGAAAAAATAACACGAAAAAAAAGAAAAAAAACTGGACCTCCTCGAGCCAGCCTTAAAAAAAACCAAAAATTTGGGGCCGCTGTTTCTGTGCGAGGCGTCCTTGGCGACCCAAATCTTTGATGTGATTTCCTGTGGCCCTGGGAAATTGGATTTGAGCCGCTCTATGCTTAAAAAGGGTGCAATGCAATTATTTCCTATAAGTGATCCCTATCCTGCTGGAACTAAGAGATAGTGAAGAGGCAAAAACAAAACAATTACAAACAAGAATAGCACAATGAAACAAACACAATTACAAAACCAAACAAACTAAAGAAAAGCAACAACACACAAAGCATGCAAAAAAAAATCAGAAAAAACACCAAAAAATGCAAAATCGAAACACCAAAAAAACACGAGAAAAACACGAAACAATAGCAATTGCTCGCACATCCTCTGTGGCTCAGAAAATCTCATATGTGTGTGTGCGTGCAGAAGTTGTGGCGGGGAAGGAAGGAAAGACAAAGGAGGTGGTGAAAAGGATCGAGAAGTAAAAACAGTTGTGTGAGGAAAGTTATGTATACGTCTGTATGTATGTCACCAAGTACCACGCCTGCCACGTGAAACAAAGGTGGATGTCTCAAAGGGCCACGCCTGCCACACCAACAGCCGCGACGGCCACCGCGTCCACACAAGAACCCCGCACAAAGATGTGGGGAAAAACATCAAACATAGGAGCAGAAGAGACAGGTGAGGGGCACAGCATCTGCGCGATGAAGTCGGTACCTGGCAGAACAAAACAGAACAACAGGCTGTCATTCGTGTCAAGAAATGGCAACATTAGCATTGTCAGAACATTTAGCACTGTCTGATTGGAACTTCATACCTATGTGTGGTTTGTCTTCCTGGGCTGCGGCTACTGCATCTGCGCGATGAAGTCGGTACCTAGCAGCAAACGCTTTCACCAGACGCGCCTCTCGAGAACATATCTCGTGCAGGTGGAGCAAATGATTGCACAGTGACTCTATTTGCAGCTGTTTTTTTCCTTCTGCACAAAGCGCTATATCAAAATTGTAGCGGCGACGCTCGGTTTTCGCACGGCGCGTCCATCGCACATCTGCTCAAGTGGGCATCCTCAGTGGGCGACGTGTCTTTCGGCGTTTGCTCCATGACCCTCTTCGTCCATGTCAGCAACCTCCTGGTCCATGTCGGCGCCAACCTCGGCAGACTCCTGGTGCAAGTGCTCCACTGCGCTCCGCAACTCCGCTTTGTTGCGGCGCCCCGCTTCTGTCAGACGGCGACAGTCTGTCTCTGCTTGAGTTTTCGAACGCCTCGTCGGACCCGACACTCTCTTCTTGTCTATGGTCACACGGACCCGCCAACCACTACCATGCTGAACCACGGAAGGAGCAGGCAAGACACGACGAGCACCACGCTGAAGCCGGGCATGAACTTCTTTCAAGCGGTCCATGGACACCGCTGCCGCCAGCTCCAATTCCTGCGCATCTTGCATTGCAGCCGCCTCGGTTGCGCGGGCGGGTCCATTGAACGTCTTGCTGCCCATCTGGCGGCGCGCGCGCCAGCCATTGCCTCTTTTCTGCACAGGCATATTTGAGCCACCTACGATCCAGCAATTTCTCCCCACGGCGGCTCAAAACAGCCGGATCAGACCGTTACGTTCGCAACTCTTATCTGTCTGTAATTAGAAGCATGATCTATTCCTTACCAATCTAGTCTGCTGGTTTCTGGATGCAGACAAAGTGTCAATACATTACTCACAAGCTGTTGACGCCGTCTGAGAGCTGAAGCCAAAATTGTACCTGGAGAATTGATATCTTGTGAGCAGGTCCAGAAGAATGAGTGATTTTCATTTGAGTCCACAGAAGGGATGCGGGTACCGCATCGCACATTTGCGGCATGCGCGCGATGAAGGCGGCACGGTACCTGGCCGAACAAATTAAAAACGGTGGAGAAAGGCAATAAAAGAAAGATCGTCGCTTACACTGTCAAATATAATCACGAAAAAATATATTGAACCATGTGGAGCAAGTTGTGTGAGAACAGGATGTGGTCTACTGATTATGATGTCATTATGATGTCTACTGGTGTGACCACTGCTTCGAACAGGATGTTCAGAAACGGCAGCATCTGCGCGATGAAGTCGGTACCTGGCAGAACAACACAAAACAACAGGCTGTCATATCTATACAGAAAAGGCGACGTCATCATGAAGACTGTTAGTTTCAGAAGTAACAGTACGGTCAAAGATCACGAAACACCAGAGTGTTGGGTCTGCGCGATGAAGGCGGTACCTGGCAGCAAACGTTTTCACTACAGATGACGCAGGTACCAAAATCTCATCCAAACACAAACATGTCACAGTGTGTGCAAAAGTGCAAGTGCCACAGCAGAGGTACCTGCCAGCGATACGTACTGCCGCGAAACCAAGGTAAGGTGTCATTGCTGTCTGACTGCATGCTGTCAAATGGCTACAGATAACGCAGGTACCAAAATCTCATCCAAACACAAACACGTCACAACGTGTGCAAAAGTGCAAGTGCCACAGCAGAGGTACCTGCCGCGCCTGCCACGCTTGCCACGCCTCCGGTACGTGCCACGCCTGCCACGCAAAGTTGGAGTGGATGTCTCAAAGTGCCACGCCTGCCACGCCAACAGCCTGCGGCGTCCTGGACAAGTTGTGTGATGACAAGCGGTGTGTGGACAAGTTGTGTGTGAGCAAGTTGTGTGATAACAAGTGGTGTGTGGACAAGTTGTGTGAGGACAAGTCCCGTCCACTCCCTCCCAAGCGCGCCACCGGAGCCAGCCCAATGCCATACGTGCCACGCCTGCCACACAAAGTGGCAGTCGATGTCACCAAGTGCCACGCCGGCCACATGAAACGAAGGTGGATGTCTCAAAGTGCCACGCCTGCCAAGCCAACAGCCGCGGCGCCAGAACCGGCTACTCCGGCCCAAGCGCGCCACTGGAGCCAGCCCAATGCCACACGTGCCACGCCTGCCACACAAAGTGAAGGTCCATGTCACCAAGTGCCACGCCGGCCACATGAAACGAAGGTGGATGTCACCAAGTACCACGTCTGCCACATGAAACGAAGGTGGATGTCTCAAAGTGCCACGCCTGCCAAGCCAACAGCCGCGGCGCCAGAACCGGCCACTCCGGCCCAAGCGCGCCACCGGAGCCAGCCCAGTGCCATACGTGCCACGCCTGCCACACAAAGTGGCAGTCGATGTCACCAAGTGCCACGTCGGCCACGTGAAACGAAGGTGGATGTCACCAAGTACCACGTCTGCCACATGAAACGAAGGTGGATGTCTCAAAGTGCCACGCCTGCCACGCCAATAGCCGTGATGCCAGAACCGGCGACTCCGGCCCAAGCGCGCCACCGGAGCCAGCCCAAAGCCATACGTGCCACGCCTGCCACACAAAGTGGCAGTCGATGTCACCAAGTGCCACGGCGGCCACGTGAAAGGTGGATGTCATCAAGTACCACGCCTGCTACGTGAAACGAAGGTGGATGTCTCAAAGTGCCACGCTTGCCACGCCAACAGCCGCGGCGCCAGAACCGGCCACTCCGGCCCAAGCGCGCCACCGGAGCCAGCCCAATGCCATACGTGCCACGCTTGCCACGCAAAGTGAAGATACGTGTCGCCAAGTGCCACGCCTGCCACGCAAAGTGAAGGTCCATGTCACGAAGTGCCACGCCTGCCACACAAAGTTGTGTCTGTGAGGGCAAGTTGTGTGTGGACAAGTTGTGTGAGGACAAGGTGTGTGTGAGCAAAGTGTGTGTGTGTGAGCAAGTTGTGTGATGACAAGATGTGTGATGACAAGATGTGTGAGGACAAGTTGTGTGTGAGCAAGTGGTGTGAGGACAAGTTGTGTGTGAGCAAGTTGTGTGTGAACAAACTGTGTGAGGACAAGTTGTGTGAGGACAAGTTGGTGAGTGCAAGTTGTGTGAGTGCAAGACAAGATGTGTGAGGACAAGTTGTGTGTGAGCAAGTTGTGTGAGGACAAGTTGGTGAGGACAAGGTGTGTGTGAGCAAGTTGTGTGTGAACAAACTGTGTGAGGACAAGTTGTGTGAGGACAAGTTGGTGAGTGCAAGTTGTGTGAGTGCAAGTTGTGTGATGACAAGATGTGTGATGACAAGATGTGTGAGGACAAGTTGTGTGTGAGCAAGTTGTGTGAGGACAAGTTGGTGAGGACAAGGTGTGTGTGAGCAAGTTGGTGAGGACAAGGTGTGTGTGAGCAAGTTGTGTGTGAACAAACTGGCGGGAGGCGGCGGGAGGAGCAAGTTGTGTGAGGACAAGTTGGTGAGGACAAGGTGTGTGTGAGCAAGTTGGTGAGGACAGGGTGTGTGTGAGCAAGTTGTGTGTGAACAAACTGGCGGGAGGAGGCGGAGGCGGAAGGAGGCGGCGGGATACAGAACCAAAAACAAGAACCCCACACAAAGATGTGGGGAATTACTCAGAGGGAAAACAACACCTAATTTACTTGAGTGTTGCCCAAAATCGGGGGAGAACCCGGGGATGATTAACTGGGGGGGAATTGTGAATCCTGGGTTGACATTATCCTGAAAGAAGTCTAGCTGTTCTTGCAGTTTACTGTACATCTTGCATTTTGGTAGTTCGTTAAACGGCAAGTCCATGCAGAGTCAATAAATGAAAGGGCAGAGTCTACGATGATTTGATCCAACAAACTAGCAACACTATGTCACTGTATGTCACATTATGTCACTATATGTCACTATATGTCACTATATCTCACTATATCTCACGCTGCCACGCCTGATTCAATCCCCCAAATTTGCAAACAGCACGCCGCAAAAAAAACAGCACTCTGCGTCGCAAATCACCGAGCAACCATAGTTGATCACGTTAACAACATTGAAAACCGTTGATATAGCTTGATTGCGCATGCGGCCGGTAAATCAACGAGGAACTAAAGACCGAAGACAATCCGAAGTCTGAGATCGTTCGGGGTTGAGACGTGCTTTCTTGCGTGTCTTCAATTCTTTGACCATAGTTTCTTAAAATGTTTAATGTTGCTCTGCAGCCTGCATTTCCATTCTTTCTCTTATGACTTTGGTTCGCATAAAAGAAAGAGGCACTTTGATGGTACGCTTGGAGATGGTTTTGTGTGCCAATCTTTCAGGATCTCATTGGTTTAAAATTTATTGATGTTTATTGATGCATGTATTGATGTATCTATTATTATCTATTGATGTTTGTTGATGTTTGTTCTGACTCCCTTGATGACCCCAAAGCGGACCGGGAGTCCGCCGGGAGTTGCCAGGACTCAACCCAGACATCCGCGTCCAGTCACGAGGAGGGGCGCACAAAACATCCCCAAGAAGTCAAGAAACTTCCGACTTCCAGATCTTCCAGATGTAAAACCATGTAAAACTGTAAAACTATTTGATCAATATTTGATATATTCTGGTAAGGCAGGTATTACATTATATAATATCAACACTTGTTAATTCATCCAACAACAGTTAAAATCATTTGCAAAATTGTGCACAAGGTGGCCGCTTGTGTTGCCCTCTCGAAAAATTGCAACATTTGTTCTTGAGCGAATGCAGTCTGCGTATTGACCATTCGTGCCGGATCAGCATTTCTTACGCTCAGCTTGACAGAACTTGACTGCATGTCTCAGAACAAGGGATCGAAGGGATCGAAGGGATGCAGGCAAGCAGAAGCAAACAAACAGCATCAAACAGCAACTCTTGCAGAATTCGTTTTGTTCCATATTGGGTTTTGTCAAAGACATCGGATGAGGTTTGTTCTCATTCTGTCTTGTGATCATCCTTGGGCTTGGAGCATGGGACTAATTGAAAAATTGAATCGAAAGCGTTCCTTCAATCTCAATGACCCTTGATCCATCTTGATCGTATTCATTTCAATGTCAACCAGGGTCCATGGCTTTGGAAGGAACACTTTCCAATACTTCCCCCAGGGAACGGAAGCCTTTCAAATTAAAAGATGAACACAACATTTGGAACTTCGAACAGAATTGACTGTTTGAGACATTTTGAAACTTTGTTTAGTTTCTTCCAGTCGTGCATCGAGGCTTGCGAGAAGTCGCACCCAACCAAGAAAGTACCCGCGCAACTTGCACCAAGTGATTCAAAACGATTCAAAGCGAATTTTGTGAACTTCACAACATGCAGCACATGCACGTACATTGCTTATACATTTACCATGAAGGTGGTGTTGACGGGGGCTTCGAAAGGACACCCAGGCTGTACTGGTGTGCATCAAGAAAAGGGAAGCCCTTTGTGGAAAACGCCAAGCACCTTTACCTAGTAACTACGACGTAGTATGCACGTAGTACTCCTTGGAGGTGCATGCAGTTGGTGCATTGGTGGGCCATCAAAGTAATCATTTCTTTCGGTGTCTCCTTTCTTGACTGCCTGTGTATATCTGTGTATTCTAAATTATTCTATGTACATCGTTCACGAATTGTTTACCATCGTTGTACGCTGCTCGCAGACATTGATCCTGACGCCTTTGAAAGTGCTCTCAGGTATCCGTTCCATCCACATTTTAGCCTCAAATCGTACAGCTCATCTATTGATGCTGCTCGGCAAGACTCAAGGCGATACTTGAAACAAAGACATTACTAGACATCACTAGACACTAGCAGTAACGGAGGGTCGAAGGTTCCAAGCTGTTGCATTGATCACGTAAAATCTGCATGCATTTTCCACATTTCTGATGATCAGCTTTCTCCAAGATTGCATTTCAAGGTGATACAGAAGGCTTGTCGCTCAACCAAAGGCCTGCATGTGTTCAGTTCAAAAGCAAGGGAAACATGGAAGATGCTGAAATGGAACTTCCAGAGAAACAGAACATTAGTGCCTGAGGGATTCTCAAAAGCAATCAGCCTGGTCGCAACTGTGGCTACCAAAGATGATGTTCTGAAGATCTCAAGCTTCCCACTTGTGCCCACAAGGATCATCAAGGATCCAGGAAAGCCAAGAAGTGAAGGATAGTTCACGTTGACCATCGACCCCCGATTCCCCCTGTATAGCAACGTGGACAGATGCCTTTGTCTACCGGCCAATTTGCCCAGCACCCGTAACAACTGGAGGTGCCCGGGCCATCGTCATTCTATTGCCAGGCGTTCATGGAGGAGTTGGGCCGTACCTTTGTTCAAACATAGCACAAACATCGCAGTGCTATGCAGACTATGCAGACTATGCAGACTATGCAGACTTTTAGGCCTTTCAGGTTTCGTGGTATGGCGCACCTGATCTTCTGAGTGCCAAGCAACATTTGGCGATTTCAAGATATGTTCGTTGTATAGGTCCACCCATAGTGTAGTAGTGACTTTGTAGCTTAGTGACAGTATATAGTTATATCCAACTGGTCGATTTGCTTTTGCTGGTGGGTACATGTGGGCACATTTGACCGCAAGCCTGCAAAGCGCTCTCAGCGAGGTTTCAATTCAGTGCCCGACAAAGCTAACGTGGGGTGACTTTGACCTAAGGTGCCGTCAACCAGGAGAGGTCTATGACAAAAACTGCCTCTATGCAGAGGTTTCCAAGAGGCAAGAGCCAGATTGTTCGAGCCTGTTTGTGGTGGATGGATGTGGAAAAACCCACTGCACATGACATGTCATGTGAGAATGTCAGGATGGTGCTAGATGCACACATGAATATGTTGCTGTATATCATAGCGTAACAAACTATCTATCGCAATAGTTATCATAATATATCATTGAAGGAAACTTAGAATAGACTTTCCCAAGATTGAAACAACTCACCATCCTTTCTATTTGACTTATACACCACCAAATTTCTCTGAGCAGTCAACATAAATGGCATGAATAATGGAAACCAACGAGGAAATCACTGGAACAACTGGTTTTTGAACATGGGGGCACTGGTTGGACGGCACTTGTAGAGCTCCACCAGCAAACGAAACACCGCTGCAACGCGCCCTATGAGCCAATCTTGCCACACTTTGGATCTGTTTGGATCTGTTTCGCTTGTTAGATTCGCTACATATCGCTACATGTTCTTAGAATCTGAACACATCTGCCTTTTCCCAGCATGAATCACCGGTGACCGGAACAAAAATTGGTATCCTAGCTGGAGCTATATGGCATTTGCAGCATTTACGTCCTACACAAACCAGACCCAGTACTTCTGGAATGGTCGGATTCTGCAGACATAGTGCGCGGGATGCAATGGCACTCGATCACTAATCCAATGATCGATTTATCAGCCGCCAAGGTATGCATTCATCAAATCTATGCGCCTGAATCGCTATCAATAGCTATCAATCGCTATCAATCGCTATCTACAACTTATTCACTGATTAACTCGTTCAATCCTTCACTGAGTCAAGCTTTCAAACTTGCAGAATGTACCCTGAACATGACTCAAATGTTTTCCTGTTTTTTGTTGTCGTGTTCTTTGAAGCTTCCGCTGCAGGCATACCGAGAGACGTATGATCTCTATGATATCTCTATGCTTCACCACATTTTTTTCGGCTGTCACGGATTTGTATTGGAAGCTCTCTGCAGACTCTGCAGCTGAGAGGCTGCGTGAAATTGATGCTCCAGCGGACGTCTTCCGCTGTTCTTGGCCCTTCATGCAACTCGGCAAAATCATTCATTTGATTGTTGGTCACACGATGTCACACGTTTGCCTCACTGAACGCATGAGTCTTTCCAACTCCTGATGACAAACATGAGTCAGAAATCATTATGTTTGTTTTCAGACCCTTTTCCGTTTTTTCCAAGTCTTTCAGATTTGCAACTGATTGTGACACGATTCTGTGCAGTGCCAATATGTTTCACCGTGTGTTCCTAGGCACCCGGATATGAAAGATGCAGTTTCAGGGGTGTGTCGTGTTCTACACTATGCACTGCTTCGTGCATCCTGGAAGCAAAGCACCGCGACTTGGATGCAAAGCACGGCGACTCTCGTAGTAATCAAGAGCAAGAGAACTCACAGATGGAGAGGACTTGCAATTCTCAACTGCAACTGCCACAACTGCCACAACTGCCACAACTGCCTTGCAGAATGTTGCAGAATGTTGCAGAATGTTGCAGAGCTGTCAGAGTCTCGCCAAATTCATCGAGGCAAATGTGTCCAAGCACAAACGCAATGTGAAAGTCATCTTGATCGGCCACTCATTAGGCCTGGCTATTGGGCAGGGTGCGGGCGTTCAAGAAACAGCTCTGCTGGTGGCAGCCAAGTTTGATCACCCAATTGGATCCGGGATACCATTTTTTCTACAAAAGCCTTGATCATGTGACCCCTACAAAAGGTTTTGTAAGGCTCCATTCTGTAGGAATTATTTTGCTGTGTACCAGGTTTTTGTAGTAAAGCGATACTTTTGTAGGCATTCCTGCCTGGTCCACCAAAACTGTTCAAATTGTATGAATCCTTAAATGGACCTACTGGGAAAACCAAGAGTCTTTTGGAAGTAATGGATAAATTGTGGCCGAATGCAATTTGTAGGTAAGCTGGGCCCCAAAAAACTGAAGCTGCAAACTGTTTTGTAGTACTAGGCCGAGCGTCAATCCCCGGGAGAGGGAGGAGATTTATTAAGACATTGGGAATCTGCAGAATCCCTATTAAATCCACATTAAATCCCAAAAAACCGCCCCATATTGCTTGGTTCTACATTTTGCATAGTTTGATCTCGTCACATCACCATTTGTGTTGGTTAAATCCCATGATTTTTCCAGAGTCTGGGAATTATAGTTTGGCAAGACCATTGTACATTGCACCAGTTGAAATCTGGTCAACCCAACGGTATACCCAACACTTGAATACACTTTTTCTCCGGAGATGTAGCAACAAATCACCTGGTGAACCAATCAGTAATCAATGATCTAGGGGTAGCCCTAGTGATGTTTGTTGGTTTATTAAGTGAGGATAGTATGGGGATATGGAATTTGATATATGTGTGAAGGGCCCTTTTGTTTTTTTGTTGGTGTGTAAACCCCATGAAAACTAGTTCGATATATCTACCATAAACATGATAAACATGTATATATTCTGAGGAAAAAAACAACCCCAGATTCACTACAAAATATCCTGTGCCCTTGGACCATCCAGAAAAAGAACCTTAAATTTCACTACAGAAGTTATCAACCAACACGTGAACAAGGCCCTACAAAAGTATTATGGAAATTGAAGGCTATTTAAAAAAAAAACTAGGCTGTAAAACCCTCAGACTTTTGTAGGAACGTTTTTTCTAACTGGGACATTCTTTCGTAGGGTTTTTTTCCTGACTGACTCCACTTTTGTAATTTTGTGTTCTAAAGTCAGATTTGTATCTACAAAACCTGGGGCACAGGTTAATTACCCTGGGTAATGGCAACCCCGATCCAATTGGAGCAATGCATGAAGTCTACAAGTCGCCACAGGGTATCACAACTCATCACAACTAAATCACAACGTTTCACATGTTTTTTACATGTAACAATCTGTAAAACGAATTAAAAGATGTAAACAACACATCAATCATCATCAATCTATATCTCTACTCTGTGCATATGTTTGCCAGAGTCTGTGCAGTCTGCACGCTTGCATGTGAGGCGGTGCTGTCGCGCTGAACTCTGCCCGATGTCTTTGTGAGACATTTGGTCCAGACGGAATTGGCTGTTCAGACCTCAGTGCATGTCGCATGTCCCATGTCACAGAATGAGAGTACCAGCCATGTTCAATTCTAGTCCAGGAACCCAGTCTGGGGTACTGTAGTATTACTTCAGGAAAACATGAGTCAGAAGGAAAAGAGAAGATGGAATTAGTCACTATTCTCATCTATTCTCATCTATTCTCATCTATTCTCATACATTCTCAATGTGTTCATTCAAGACACATTTAAGGGATTTTAAAAGGATCTTTATAGACGAATCAAACCAAAGATTGAATTGTTAGATGCAAGGAATCGCTTCATGGAGGAATTGAATCTAATGAATCGTGGACATGATATATGAATATATATATATATATGTATGTATGATACTATATGGTCAGGCCATGTTAATGCATATGTACATATATATATATAATACATGATGTGTATATATATATATGAGTTGACATCAAGCTGACATCATATCATGTTAACACCACTTCTATTTTTGTGACGGGCCTTTCCAAGAGGTCGTAGTATCGAAGGCCTGGAAAATGCCACAGTGAAGATCGCAGGCAGAGATTTGGGTGTATGGAGACGATGAGTTTGAAATCGCTTCCCAACAGGATCGCACTTCACTCAAAAAGAAAACACACGCTTTGATCCTGTTTACAGGAGGGTTTGGAAAAATCTGGCAAAAGTATGGCAAAAGGTCGGCCAAAGATGTAAGACACATTGCCATACACCAAGTCCCAGCTGACCTCTCAGAAAGGACTGAACTTTTTGGAGTTGGTGCTTCATCGCGGGGGTTTAGGACATTTTAGGACAGCCTTTTTGCATCCATTTTGGCATGAAGAAGGACTGAAAGGTGAGTTAAATTGCAAATGTTCAGTCTGCTGTTCCAATTTGAGTCCCAACCCCGCCAAACCCACGCTCCCAGCCGAAGCCGTGGCTCAAACGACAACCGCTATGCCGAGCTATGCTCATGAAAAACATGAAGTGCAAAACTCATACGACATCATAAGACCTCTTAACGGTCCTAACGTGAAGCTGTACGTGATCGACGTGCTGTACGTGTCGGATGATCCACAGAGGTTGGACCTTAGGGGGCCTCACATGGTTCAGCTTTTCATCGTGGAGGCCTTGCCATAAGCCTTGATATCTTGATGTCTTGATGTCTTGATATTTATCTTGATATCTTTTGATATCACTTGATAATCTTGATATCACTATGCACTATATCATTAATTACTATATCATTACTATGCAAATCTATGCAGTTTCATTATTATTACTATCATTATTAAACAGACTTACCACCCGGGACTATCTGTACTCCTGTAGGTAGTTCCAGGAACACCTCGGGGCTGCCCTGTCCCCGTGTGCATCATGGACAACGAGTGGCCCAGCGAATTGCAGGCATGGTCGGCATGGTCGGCATGATTTTCAAATCCTCAGCCGCGTGAGAAGATTCTTAGTGTGAACTCTGCACCATTGGAGGATTGGTAGAAACTCCAAAACACGTGAATGAACACGTTTTGTCATAGTTGTGCAAGTCTTTTCCAAGAAGCGACGATAGAGTCTCTGTTTGTCTCTATCTCATTATTCTCAGCAAGCTTTCGTTTGGTTTTCATCATTTGCATTATATGAAAGTGTCCATGGTATGGCAACATGGTATATCATACAATATACATTATATATCAAAATTATTTTCAGTACTCAGTACACACTCAGTACACACTCAGTATACACTCAGTACACACTCAGTACACACTCGGTACACTCAGTACACACTCAGCTCAGTACACAGTCAATACACAATCAGTACACACTCAGTACACACTCAGTACACACTCAGTACACACTCAGTACACACTCAGTACACAATCAGTACACAATCAGTACACACTCAGTACACACTCAGTACACAATCAGTACACAATCAGTACACACTCAGTACACAATCAGTACACACTCAGTACACACAGAGTACACACACACAGTACACACACAGTACACACACACACAGCACACACACACAGTACACACACAGAGTACACACACACACAGTACACACACAGTACACACAGTACACACAGTACACACACAGTACACACAGTACACACACAGTACACACACAGAGTACACACACACAGAGTACACACACAGTACACACACTGTGGGGTAATGGTAATCAAAAGTGTGAATGATGTCATAGTCTTCGCCTGATTGCCTGGCAGTAGAATTTCAGCGGACCCAGATTCGCGATCGAAGAAACAACGCACAGCTCATAAACAAGAACAGAAAGTCAACAGTTGAAACTATAGCAGGTACGTAGATCAGGCGTCCCTGACCTATATCCTTACCACATGTCACCCAGCTTCGTTGGCAGAGGAAGTGACATGGGCACCTCTGCCCCCTGCTTTTGAGAATTGTACAAGCGCAATAAACAGAACTAAAACCGTTTGTTATAACGGTGTACACACACACACAATGGCCCCGAAATGGGGCAAAACCGCAAACCGCCTAGTTTTTACCTAAGAAAACTGACCTAAAGAGCCTGCCTAAGAGAATGAATACCTGGCCTAAAAGAACCTGATGACGATGACGAGTGATGTGAAAAGCAAAAAGTTAAACCGTGTTCAATAAGTCGTAAATCCTAACATTTAAGAAAATGCGTATGCAAGAGTTGTACGTTTGAGTTCAAAAAGAAAACGATGCACAAGACTGTACGATAAAGCCTTTCAGCCAAGACCTCATTTGTAATTCCATCTCATCGTCAAGAACAAATAATCGTACAGGTACATTGGCAAGTGGAAATTCTGAGTTCCGAAACTGCAGAATGAGCTTGAGTTGTTGCTGAGCTCTTGACCGAAACGGTTCCGACAAGTTTCGGCTCAATCTGCATAACAAAATTCCCTGCTTCATCAAAACATGATAGATTCATCAAAACTAAACTGTTTGCTATATAGTAACCTAAGGAGCCTGCCTAAGAGAGTGAATACATAGCCTAAACAGAACCTGATGACGCTGATGAGTGATGTGAGAAATAAAACGTTGAACCATGTTCTATACCTAGTAAATCTGACCTAAGGAGCCTGCCTAAGAGAATGAATACATGGCCTCAAAAGAACCTGATGACGATGACGAGTGATGTGAGAAACAAAACGTTGAAACATTTCTATACCTGGAAAAACAAACCTAAGGAGCCTGCCTAAGAGAATGAATACATGGCCTAAAAAGAACCTGATGACGATGACGAGTGAGGTGAAAATGCTACTGAGACTCCGACCAGACCAAAAGCACTTGTATTGCACCCGTGGTGCTGGGAACTGGGAACTTCGACTTATGTCTGCTTTGTCCGAACTGGACGAAAACTTCTGCCTTATGGCTTCTTTGCCTTATGGCTGCTTCGATTGGATTTTACAGTGTAAAATCTTGACTCCGTCATATGACGCTTGAAATGCACTCGAAGTGCATACGGCTTCGGAGATTCATACTCCACTCGGAATACGGGAAAATGCCCGCTCATGACTTTTTGATTGGTCGAAACCAACCGACGGTGCGACCAAGCCAGGTCAAACACCCAGGACACACTGTGGGGTAATGGTAAGTAAAAAGTGTGAATGATGTCATAGTCTTCGCCTGATTTCCTGAGTTGCCTGGCAGTAGAATTTCAGCGGACCCAGATTCGCGATCGAAGAAACAACGCACAGCTCATAAACAAGAACAGAAAGTCAACAGTTGAAACTATAGCAGGTACGTAGATCAGGCGTCCCTGACCTATATCCTTACCACATGTCACCCAGCTTCGTTGGCAGAGGAAGTGACATGGGCACCTCTGCCCCCTGCTTTTGAGAATTGTACAAGCGCAATAAACAGAACTAAAACCGTTTGTTATAACGGTGTACACACACAGTACACACACACACAGTACACACACACACAGAGTACACACACACACGTACACACACACACAGTACACACAGTACACACCCACACAGTACACACCCACACAGTACACACAGCACACACACACACAGTACACACAGCACACACACACACACATAGTACACACACACAGTACACACATAGTACACACACACACAGAGTACACACACAGAGTACACACACACAGTACACACACACAGTACACACACACAGTCACACACACTCACACACACTCACACACACACACACACTCACACACACTCACACACTCACACACTCACACACTCACACACTCACACACTCACACACTCACACAGTCACACAGTCACACAGTCACACAGTCACACAGTCACACAGTCACACAGTCACACAGTCACACACTCACTCACTCACTCACTCACTCACTCACTCACTCCACTCCACTCCACTCCACTCCACTCCACTCCACTCCACTCCACTC